AGTGAGGCACTGCTGAGGTGGGGGGGGGGAGACTGAGGAAGTGCTGAGGTGGGTGGGGGGAGACTGAGCAAGTGCTGAGGTGGGGGGGGGGAGACTGAGCAAGTGCTGAGGTGACCGTTGCTAGGTGCGTTCATGGTAGCAACATACAACACACTGGTGATCACTCTATTATGTATGTGAGTGTAGCGTTAAACATGCGATGTGTGTATATTTATATACGTTTTGTGCCGTGGCCAAGCCCGACTGGCCAGGTCCGGCTGGCCAGGTCCAATATAACTACCTTACCTACCTTGAGGTAGGTAACTAACACTAAGGTTATGAGCTTCGCGTTCAAGAAGCCACATTGACGGGCCAAACTCTTACTATTTCTCCCATTGGCTAATATACCCATGGAATCCTTTAAAAAAATCCTTGGAAATTAGAGTGGAGGGGGGCTTTGACAAACTGCCAGCTTCTTGTCCCCGAAAAAGCATCTAGAGTTGGTGGCCCTCGGGTAAATTCTGGTATACCGTGATGTGGTCATTTCATGGTGATTCAGACCGTCTTCTCAGTAGTTTCCGCCGAAGCGACAAGAGAAGTGTATAATTAGAAGATGATCTTGAAGCCTACGAGTCTAGTCACCCTCCTCAGCTCGTCCTCAAAGGCCAAGTAATTATCAAAAGATCTAAACAAAGGGCAAATGCTGGTTAATCCAGCCGCCAAACTTTGTTTATGAATGAAGAACGGTTTGCACACGCAACCCGTCCTCAAACCAAGTCCATTCCATCCAGCGGCCGACTCCAAAGATGCATTCATCAATTTTAACATGTTCATTCAAAACATTAATTTTCTCAAATATAAGTTAATATTATTTTATATTAGTATATTGTGCAAATTTAGGAATTGGTTACGTTACGTTAGGTGTTTAGATTCCGTTGACGATTATTTGTATTTAACCCGTCCTCACACTAGGCTGTTTAAAGCAGCGGCCGTCCTCTCCAGACGCATTCATCAATTTTAACATACTATGCATTAAAAATTGGTTTGTTCTCACATTTCGGGAAACGATAACCGGCTATTCAGGCAAAGGACTTCCGGTAGAAGTAGCTTATATGGACTTTGCTAAAGCTTTTAACACGATACCACATGAGAGACTGGCAAGGAAATTACAGGCACATGTAATAAATGGGAGAATACTGGAATGAATAAAACAATGGTTAAAACAGAAAACAAAACAGAAAACAAAGGGTCGTGCAAAATGGGAATGAATCTGCCTGGGGAAATGTGCTCAGTGGGGTGCCACAGGGGTCCATTTTGGGGCCAACCTTTTGTCATATACATCAGTGACAAATGAGAATACTTACAAACCACATCATCAAGTTTGTTGATGACACAAAGATCTATGGTAAAGTGGGAAGTGAAAGTGATACCGAGACCTTACAAAGAGATCTGCATGAACTCCACAAATGGTCTGACGACTGACAAATGCTTTTTAATGTCGTTAAATGCAAGACATTGCATGTGTGGGCGCAACAATCCCCGTCACAACTACTAAACTGACAGCACTACCTTACAACAGATTGATGAAGTAAAGAACCTTGGTGTCAGAATCCATCAGTCACTAAAAGTTGCACAATAGGTGGGAGCGGCAGTAAACAAAAAAAGCTAACCAAACCCTGAGAATAATCAAGCGAACCTTTACCTTTCATTACCGACTTTCTCAGCAGCAGAAAATATACAAAAAAAATATCCAGCATGAATAGTGTTTGCTTATATTTTATTTATTAAAATTACACGAACCCTGGAAAATCGACGATTAAGAAGAAATACTAAAATAAGAGCTTTAAAGACTTTCAATTTCAAGCTTTAAGTGGGTGGCCGAAGGTCAGCTGACTGTGGGTGAGGAAGTACCAGCCGGATCAAACTCGTGTGTGTTGCTCGGGGCTTGTTTAGGTAACCCAGATGCAACAACACATCCATCAGGGACCTGCGTCGTGTTGGTGTAATGATCTGCCTCCTGCAGAATAATTCAGGCAGTAGGGCGGGGGAAGGGAAGTATCAGAAGAAAGCGCCAAGCCATTAAGTCCCCCCCCCCCCATCCCGTGGCGTAGCGGTAACACTTGCCTGGCGTTTCGCGAGCGCTTTGGCCCGAATTCGAATCCTGGCTGGGGAGGATTTACTGGGCGCCAATTCTTAACTGTAGCCTCTGTTTACCCAACAGTAAAATAGGTACCTGGTTGTTAAACGATTTGGCGGGTCGTATTCCGGAGAAAATTAGGATTAAGGACTTGCCCGAAACGCTACGCGTGTTGGTGGCCTTACATGAATGTAAGAACTCTTGTGTATAAATAAACAAATATATAAAAAATAAAATAAACAGCAACAGTAGTAGGGACGGGGAATGGATAAGCTTCACCCAATCTGTCCTCTTAAAAAGAACGTCGCTTTTGGCCATTTGCCCCTCCCACAGCCATGATTGGTGATTGGGTGGTGGTGGTGAGCGGGTGGTGATTGTCCTCTCTCCCCCTCCTACTACTCTAGTTAGTGGTGGTAGGGGTGACGTGAGAGGGGTTATAACAGGGGTATATCTCCCCACTATATTGACAGTAACTCATATTGACAGCCCGCTCCTGTGCCAGGGAAGTTCACTACGGGCTCACCATAGCCAGTGCTGCTTGGAACGTTTTGTTCCCAGTACCTGAATCTTAAACAACAACAACAACGACAGTAACTCCCCACTTCCCACCTTATATTTTCCCGGCTCAAAGGAGCGGGATAATTGCTACTTTTGGTGATTCGAAGCATGTCGTCGGGTTCATTCTAACAATCGGGAATTTAAGATTCGAATCCCGGGCGGGACAGAAATGGTTGGGTGCGTGTTTCCAATCACCTGATGCTCCTATTCACCTAGCAGTAAAATAGGTACCCATACGCTAGTCAGCTTCTAATTGTGGGGTAGCATCCTGGGCAGGGTCAGTAATTCAACCTTGAGAGGGGGGAAGGGACCCCGATCTATATAAACCGACCATTATATAATATTATATATATATATATATATATATATATATATATATATATATATATATTATATTATATATATATATATATATATATATATATATATATATATATATATATATATATATATATATATATATATATTACTTAGATCCATTTCTAATAGATCAGCTAAAGGGCGATTTAAGTAGAATCATTGAAAAACATTTGTCTCACTAATTTATTGTATATATTTACTTCTTTATGTTATAATTACCTATATATTATGCTTGTATGTCTGCTGTATCAGATGGGCCATTGGGCTACATCGGATGTGCCAATTGGGTGCATCTGATGGGCCAATGGGCCGTCTGCGTTGTCCAAGTATTGTACCTCACCTTACTTCACCACTCCTTCCTGCCTATTTATACCCATCACTCGATCTGTAAAATGACCTTCTGAAGATGTATTTAATATACGAAAGTACTTAAGGAAATTTCCTGTTTCATTTTTCCTCCGTGGTCTGACATTGTCATATATATATATATATATATATAATGACTGAAAACTCACACCCCAGAAGTGACTCGAACCCATACTCCCAGGAGCAACGCAACTGGTATTTACAGGACGCCTTAATCCGCTTGACCATCATGACCGGATGTAAGGAAGTGATAGCCGAAGCCATTTGAACCACTTCCCCGCCGGCACTCGGATGGTAATCTTGGGCATAGCATTTTATCAAATCATCTCATTCTTTGGGGCACATGTGAGGAACACAAATGTGAACAAGCCTGAATGGTCCCCAGTACTATATGCGACTGAAAACTCTCACCCCAGAAATGACTCGAACCCATACTCCCAGGAGCAACGCAACTGGTATCTACGACAGGGGTTCTGCAGCTATGGTTCAAATAGCTTCGGCTATCACTTCCTTATGTCCGGTCGTGATGGTCAAGTGAATTAAGGCGTCCTGTAGATACCAGTTGCGTTGCTCCTGGGAGTATGGGTTCGAGTCACTTCTGGGGTGTGAGTTTTCAGTCATTATATATATATATATATATATATATATATATATATATATATATATATATATATATATATATATATATATATATATATATATATATATATATTACTGGCCACCTGTCCCCCCAACAAAATTAAACAACTTGATTCAAACGCCAAATCTGTTCCACAAGTCATATCAGACTTGGCTCCGAGACTCACCACTTGTTTTCTCCTACATATCAACTATGTAGAAGCTGACAGCTGATAGAGGAATTAAGGTGCACCGCTTCATCTTGAGTCATCAAGTATCGCCACAGTAGATCAGGTAAAGGTTGAACCATCCTCAAATCTACATAGTAAAACAAGTATATTTTGTGATGACAATACGCGTCTCTGTGGTGTAGTGAGGTATGACCTACCTTCCCTTGACCAGCCCGTTCATACTCGGGACAATGTCAACAATCTCAAGAGAGCTATTTAAACCCTTGTCAAGCGAGGTCTGAGACACTAACACGAGGCTCTTCAACAGGTGGGTGGGCCTGTGTGTTGCCTGGCCTGTGACTCACCTAGTTGTACTCACTTTGTTGCGTTTGTCTGGGTTGAGTTTTGGCTCTATGATCCCGCCTCTAAACCGTCAGTCAACTAGATCACTGCGTGTTGTGTGAGGCGTGTGGTGTGTGCGAGAGGCGTGTATGTGTGTGTGCAAGGCGTGTGTGCAACGCGTATGTGCGTGGTAACATCATGTTCTTATCACGTCCTATTCGTAAGAAAATTGCTCCGCGTTAATCGTCACCAAGCACGCCATAAATATAAGAATGACACTCATCTATGAATGTTTAGTCCCCTTATAATTGTTGACGTCAGCGATGCATAATGTGAGAGTTAAATATGTATCTGGGATTGTAAATTATCGGTGACATTTTTACTAAAAGAACGGCCTGGGCCTCCCTGCTAGACGTGTCGCTTAAGATGTTACTGAGCATACCTCCAACACTAAGAAAATGTATATCTTTAGGGCTCCCTGACTTGTGAAGGACCGCAGGTGCTGAAGAAGACGCTGAGCCAGGCGAGGCAGCAGCGTCGTGTATCGCATAAACAGCCATGGTGGGGACCACTTTGTTGAGGATCGCTGCGGACCATGTGAGGCCCATTGTGGAACTGACATTTCATATCTAGTCCGTGTCATGCCATAATAAATCTTGCCCGGATTTTTAACTATACAGAATTTAAAGAAAATTGCAACTACGTTCGACTGTATAATTATTGTTTACTTATATAATATACCGATTATATATTTATATAATATACTTATTAACTGCTGTGATGGCGACAGTGGGTGCCTTGGGTGCGGGCGGTGGAACACGACAACGGGACATTCACCCTCGACGGCCCAATGGACAACCTTCTCCAAACCTTGGCCTTGAAGCTCGACTTCCAGTGAGTAACCTCCGACGATATACATATCCAAATGCCCCCCCTCCCTGGGTTGTTAATTACATGTATTAACTTGACTCGTTCAGCTACGAGCCACAGACTAATTTGGGTATTCAGGTCCTGGAGCGACAGGCACATGTGCCACTGTATTGATATGCTGGCCCTCGGAACCCCTGGTTGTTAGGCATATAGCCGTACTGCGCCGCTGCTTGAATCATATTATATAGATATATACACATCTTCAGTTGACTTAAACCGACGTTTCAGAGTCATAGCTCCATCTTCAGAGGTAAAATAAAGAACAAACAACGCAAGATTTAGCCGAAACATGTGTACGCAAATATACGGGGTTGTAAGGGGTTCAGCTTGGGGCCGAACCTACGTAATTTCTAAAAAATTTGTGTAGAAACTTGTCCCGCAGAGTTCAAGTCAATTTGTTATCGTCATTATGTGGATGACTTTCTTTAATGAGCATCGAGATGTGTACTTCGTATTTAAATTCCAAAAACATTTCAATTTGACTTTCGTTTGCGAAATTGAAGAAATTTCTAAAATATTCTCGACTATTACAAATACTGGAGGTCAATTTTCTACGACTGTTTATCGTAAACCTGCATTCACAGGATTACCTTTACATTATCTTAATTTTGCCCTCAAGCTTTATAAAGTGAATACTATTCAAACTACTAAATAGAGCCTTTATAAATTATATATATAAACTGTTCTAATTATAGAATATTTGATATCGAGGTCAAGTTTTCGCACGAATCTTTTCTTTTACCAATTGCTGTTTCTAGCAAAGTATTTGATAGAATTCTGGGGAATTTTTAAATACTAAATTTCTACCCATTAAAGTTCCTACAGCACCCAAAGAGAAATTGTTAAAATTTCTGTATTACGGAATTTCCGTATTAATTATTAGAAAGGAGCTTCGTAATATTTATAAAACATACTTTAGAATATACTTTATCGTACTTTAGAAACATACTTTTTAATAGTATTTCGTAATATTCTAAAACATACTTCTGAAACAATCCACAAATTAGTTTTCAACTCGTGTTTACCAACTACACCATTAGAAACTGTTTTAAACGTAGAGATCCTTAACCCTCATATCTGTTTTTTTTATATTTTTAAATGTCTGAACTGAGGGAAATATCTCACAAAACTCCAAACAGCGTATAGAACACGGGAGGAAAGTGGTGGATGCCAAAATCGTCAGCATGTTGTTATTTTAGATTCAGCTACTCGTAACAAAAAGTTCCAAGTAGCACGGGCTATGGCGAGCCCCTAGTGGACTTAGCTGGCACAGGAGCGGGGCTCCAAAGACGCTATTCGTTCAAACAATTGACAACTGTCAATTGTCAGTAGTTTCAAAGCATCATAGGACAAAGAATACTGGGAAGACGGAACACCACGAGCGTAGCTCTCACCCTGTAACTAAAACAACTTTGGCAACTAAATGGTGCTTTATCTTACCGCACTGGGCCGTCCCTTGGCAAGTCGTGTCCTCTGCTATCTGGGATCACTGGGAGGAAATGAGCTATCCTTTCACTTACAGCGATTTCACTGCTCTGTTTTCTAGCTCGTCGCGTTTGGAACTCAGCACTTTGGAAAGTGTCACAGTCGTAGGAATGAGACTCGAGGTAAACGGCTCGGAGTCCTCAGTTGTTTATACAATAAGTAATTATCAAAAGTAGGCGCCAAGCGGGAAGACTATGTAGCTCCATCAAAGTTGAGGGATATTCAAAAGGCGGTAAATATCACTAAGGATGCCAATACGAGAACAAAAGCGCACAAGGCGAACGATATTAAAGGTATCTGATTCACCAAGGATTTGTTCATTTAAAGATATCTAATTCATCAAGGATTCTATCGAGGGACAAGTTGGGCAATCCGTCCTCAGACCAAGTCCATTCCATCCAGCGGTTGACTCCAAAGACGCATTCATCAATTTTAACTTGCTATTCGTTCAAAACAGGAATTTTCTTATATATAAATTATTATTTTATATTACCATATTGTACATATTTAGGCACCGTTTAGGTTAGGTGTTTAGGTTCTGATGGCGATTATTTGTATTCAACCCGTCCTCGACTCAAGTCCATTACATCCAGCGGTCAACCCCACAGACGCATTCATAAATTTTAACATACTGTTCACTCAAAACGGGAATTTTCTCAAGTATAAATTAATATTATAATATATTAGCATATTGTGTATATATAGGCATAGGATAGGTTAGGTTAGGTGTTTAGGTTCTGTTGGCGATTATTTGTATTTGTAGTACGTGGGTGAAGCATTTATAGCGTTGTGATTCGAACAAAATTCGTCAGTGAAGCACTTGTTCCGGATATGTTCGAACGTCAGCAGTTGTGAGTCGTGTGTAAACCGCTTTTCATTCATAAACAGGGGGTTTGGCGGCTGCATGGAATCACTTTTGGATCTTTGTTTGGAGGACGGGCTGTGTATTTGTAGTACGTGGGTGAAGCATTTACAGCGTTGTGGTTCGACCAAAATTCGTCAGTGAAGCACTTGTTCCGGAAATGTTCGAACGTCAACAGTTGTAAGTCGTGTGTAAACCGTTTTTCATTCATAAACAGCGGGGGGTTTGGCGGGTGCATGGAATCACTTTTGGGTCTTAGGATGGACTGCTTACAGCGGCACGTCCTCTTATCCGATAAGTCTCGTCTTCTCTGATGCTGTAGAGTTTGTATATATTTTTATCTTTCTTGTGTATACATCTTTATTCCTATTTTGCATAATATATTTTAGGTTTAAATGTTGTCATTTTAAGTCATTTATTTAAATATAATTTTGATCCATATATTAATATGTTAGCTAATCTTGCGTTGTATTTGCTCTTTACTTAAACCCTGAATACGGAGCTATGGCTCCGAGGCGTCTCTTATCTACACAATTAATTGTCCAGTGTCGTAATCACCGCCCCAGCGGTTAACACCAAATGTTTCAATGATTGTTTTAATATATGGGGGGGGGGGGGGGGGGGGAACATTATAAGTCCGTTAACAGGAGTTTGCTCTTAAGACCCAGCGACGTAAAAAAAAAATAAAACTGTTCACATTTCACGGTGGTGTTATAGTAGTGTTGTTCAAGTATGTTTATTGAGACAAGAAAGAAATACATCTCAAAGGGATAGAGTAGCTTAGGCTATTTCTACCCCCCCCCCCCCCTCCCCCCAGTAGTGTTGTGGTTTTGTGGTACTGTAGGAATGGAGAATTATTGTATTATCCTAGTATTATTATTGTAATTGTCTTAGAGCAGAGGTGTTGTAATACACGTGTTGTGTTGACCAGACCACACACTAGAAGGTGAAGCGACGACGACGTTTCGGTCCGTCCTGGACCATTCTCCAGTCGATTGTGTTCACATTTCACAATCGACTTGAGAATGGTCCAGGACGGACCGAAACGTCGTCGTCCCTTCACCTTCTAGTGTGTAGTCTGGTCAACATACTTTAGCCACGTTATTGTGACTCCTCGCCTGCCCGCGTGTTGTATTGTAGGTGTGAGGTGGAAGCAGCTCAGCGTTGTTGTACAGGGGTTCAGCTCACTATACCTGTCCCCCCCTGAGACAGGTACGAGCTGGTGCATCCGCCGGACCGCGTGTGGGGCATCCTGACCCGCGACGGAAACTGGACAGGGATGCTGGGCATGCTGCAGCGGGAGGTGAATGGTCACACACGTCTGTCTGTCTGTCTCTCTTAACTGTCTTCTTCACCGCCAGATTGTTACTTTTGCCCTTTCCAGTAAAAAAATCTCTTATATATTACGTTTCTCTTTCACTGTATCTGTTTTTATCTTTTAATATAATTATTGTAATGAGGTAGTGTAGAGGTCCAACAAGTTTAGGAGTAAGAGGGACCATGAAATAACATCTATATCAAGTAGTTAACACATCAGGACAGAGGGCACGTCACTGGAACAGTTCCTGAGGTGCTGGGCACCCATGTACAACCCCAGGAACCATGATGCCACCGTCTAGTGCCTGGGAACACACCGCCAAGGCTGACAGTGCCACGTCACATCTTAGGAAGAGAAGGAGGAAGAGAGGGCAGGGTGTGAAGGCATGATACCTACTCCTTTCTGAATCAGGCTTGAATCCAGCTTGAAAAATATCATATGGAAAGAATTTGTTCTGACAAAAAAATAAGAACAAATTGGGGGGGGACATTTGATAAGCCGCCGGCTTCCTGTCCCTGTCGAGGCCACTAGAGTGCTATAGTGGCTCCTCGGGTAAACTCCGGTTCACACCCTAAAGGTTCCAGGTTCGATTTCCGCGAAGGATGGTAACGTTTGTATACGTATTATTTCACCCGATGTCTTTTTCAACCGGTAATTAATCGGTACCCAAGTAGACGGCCAATTGTCTTGGTGTGTACCATGGGAAATGTCAGTCGTGTGCCGTAAGTGGACCTCGATAACCCTAAGAAGCTTCCTGTCGCTAACACAGGGAAACATGCCATCTTTTATTTGTTTTGTGAAGGCTCGGGTGAACGGAATGCCCTGGCTGAGATTGTATGTGGACAAGGGAGTGAGATCTCTCTGTTTTATGAGGATTGCATCGAAAGTAACACTTACTTAATTCAACTTCAAATGTTTGATACGAGCAGGAATTCAACGTCTGCTTTTGTCTGCCGCAGGAGGTAGAGATCGCGCTGGGTCCGTTCGGTGTTTCTCGAGCGCGGGAAACTGTGTGTGACTTCTCCGAGCCCATATACGTGGACAGTTATGCCATACTGACAACCCGACCCCGTCTCGAGAGTGACTGGTCCGGATTTCTCAAACCCTTCACCTCCAACGTCAGTATTAATTATCCTTTCACTTGCTTTCCTCCGCTTTTGTCTTCTCTTTCCTGCTTCTGTAATGTACTTATTGTTTTCTCCATTTTCTTTATACTCTATATAAACTGGAAAGTTCAATTAATGTCGACCAGACCACAGACTAGAAGGTGAAGGGACGACGCCGTTTCGGTCCGTCCTGGACCATTCTCAAGTCGATTGTCAATTAATGTCTATGTAAAGGCTATTCATAACCGCAAAACTGTTCGCCAAACATACCAACATGACTTTAACCTTAACATGTCAATATCAATGACCCAGAAGTTAGGACCTCGTACAGATAAGTACTCAAACAAGTGATTGACTCACCCTTCTGCGGTTCCAGGTGTGGTTGCTGGTGCTGATGGCTTCTGTGATCACCTGCGTGATGCTGACTTTTATCGCCCGGCAGGAGAGCAAGATCTTCAGCACTCCTTACAGGTGCTCCAGACACAACAATGTTGATCAAAACTCAATACCTTGAACCACTAGGATAAGCCAATTAAAAATGTTAAAATGTTGTCTCTAACTTTGGCATTCTATCACAGCTCAGTTTTCATCCCTACACCTTGATGAGTATTGTTTTGGTCTTCGTGTATTAATAAAACAGTCTTCAGTAAGCAGAAAAGGAGGTGTTTTTAATTGAGGAGGGAACTAGTACTGTTTCTGTCTCTCCAATCATTAGGTACTCCTTGGCTACCGCTGTCTTGTGGGTTTTGAAGTCGCTCACACAGGATGGTGAGTACACACACACACGCGCGCGTGCGCATGCAACAGATACTCTCACACGACTGCATCAAAGCAATACACACATACACAAACGCGTGAACTAAATCCGCACACACACACACACACACACACACACACACACACACACACACACACACACACACACACACACACACACACACACACACACACACACTCATACACACACACGGAGGCCAAGACCGTCAGTAGTTTCAAAGCGTTATATGACAAAGAGTGCTGGGAAGACGGGACACCACGAGCGTAGCTCTCATCCTGTAACTACACTTAGGTAATTACACTTAGGTAATTACACACCGGGGCCTCGTAGCCTGGTGGATAGCGCGCAGGATTCGTAATTCTGTGGCGCGGGTTCGATTCCCGCACGAGGCAGAAACAAATGGGCAAAGTTTCTTTCACCCTGAATGCCCCTGTTACCTAGCAGTAAATAGGTACCTGGGAGTTAGTCAGCTGTCACGGGCTGCTTCCTGGGGTGTGTGTGTGTGTGTGTGTGGTGTGGGGGAAAAAAATAGTAGTTAGTAAACAGTTGATTGACAGTTGAGAGGCGGGCCGAAAGAGCAAAGCTCAACCCCCGTAAAAACACAACTAGTAAACACACACAAGTACACACACGCCCGCGCGAAAAAAATGTATTTTCATCGTTATGAGTGATTACCTGATAAATAAGAATCGACCGGCTCACCAACTCGCAAAAAAACAAGAATGGTGTTTTAATCAGGAATGAAGGAACTTCCCAAGACTGACGGGAGCCGCCTGCTGGTGGTGACGTGGCTCCTGGTCTCCTTTGTCTTCATGTCCTCCTACAGCAGCACCCTGACAGCCAAGCTCACCGTGCCTCGAGTCGTCATTCCCATCAACTCAGTGGAAGATCTGGTGTCGCAGACCGCCATGCCCTGGCGCCTGGAGTTCGGCACACTCTTGTTTCAATATTATCAGGTCAGTACTTGAACTCTAAAGCTGGTTTGACTGGGTCCGGAGTGCTTTCAGATGAGTTTTAAACCTCCGGGGACTGGCTATTGCAAAGGCCCAAGTCTCTGTAGTTAACTTCAAGATGTCGTCTCAGTAAATGTTCCACGGAACTGGTCTGATCCCCATGCGGGATACACTTGCTTATTATTCATATTGATATATTGTGAGGGAAAAAATTATGATCTGTTCATCCTAGGAAGCGACGGAGGGGCTGCCGAAGGCCGTGTTTGACGGCAGCGCGGGGACCTTCAATGACTGCTGGACCGATAGGAAGTTGATTGCCCAAGGCCAATTTGCCGGCATCTGCGACAAGACCACAATGAAGATGGACATGTCTTGGGACATGAGGTATTATTTTAAATATGTAAATCCATAGTTAACCAGCATTTCTTTGGTAAAAGGTATTATGGTAGTATGGAATAGGATGGCCAGGTTGATTTATACTTCAAATAATATTTGTAGAGGCTACACACAGAAATCACAATAACGTGATGCATCAAATGAACAAATCCACAAACAAATTGTGGCAGCGTCTGGGATGCTCCCGGACGCAGGTTCGAATCCTCGGCACGGCCCTTGTGGATTTGTTCATTTGTAGAGGCTGATGAAGGCTAGACAAACAGTCGGCCATAGAGTAAATACTACTCTGTTAATTAACGTTCACAGTATACAACTTTACCTGTCTTAGATATGATACATATAGTCATGTATATAAAATAATATAAATATTAACGACTTACATTCAAGAGGACTCGATACTTTGCAGCTCCACGGGACAATGTCGCTTCTACATCACTGGAGACTCCATCTACAGCCCCGTCATGATCGCTGTGGCTTTCAAGACAAACTCTCCCTACAAAGAAAGAGTCGATTATTGGTGAGGCGAGGCCTCGTATATTGCTTCCCTTGTGCTAATATATACGTGTGTGTGTGTGTCATCTGGCATTTATTTAACATGTCCCATTCCTTAGTATTTGGAAACATTATTAAATTTAAAACAATATTAAAGCCGTAAGATGAGATGGAACCCGCATTCGTGAACGCCACGGGCGCACTCACCTTGATACATACCGCTGTTGTGGTTACATTGTGCATCATTATTGATTTGTCTCACTACCATTACCCTTTAATTCTTGACCATATGATCACCAGGATCTTGAGGCTGAGGGAGTCTGGTCTGATCAACCTGTGGCTGAAGAATGAGATCGGTGACATCTCGCAGTGCCTCCGGCCGCCCTCCGCCAGCGCCGCCACCCACGCCTCGGCCCTCGATCTCGATGCATTCATGGGTTCCTTCCTGGTGTTGGCTGGAGGTCAAACCTGCTGACAAGATATATTAAATGCATAAATGTAGTAAAAGATCGAAACAAATTATATTGTTTCAAAGACACAATTGGTAACTTGTATAAGACTGTCATGAGGTGAAGTCCGTGTTTATATGCAGGCGAGGAGTCACAATAACGTGGCTGAAGAATGTTGACCAGACCACACACTAGAAGGTGAAGGGACGACGACGTTTCGGCCCGTCCTGGACCATTCTCAAGTCGATTGACTTGATAATGGTCCAGGACGGACCGAAACGTCGTCGTCCCTTCACCTTCCGTGTTTATATTATGCATATTAAATAATGTTTTTTTCCAGGATTGGCGGCAGGGACGCTGGTGTTCCTGCTGGAGATGTGTGTGGCCGCGACACTGAAGGAGCTCAACACATACTGACGACGACGACGCTGCTGCTAATACAACTTTCCATGCCTGGGCATCCTTATAAATGTATTGAAAACATGTAACTTTAATGTTTGAATAATAAAATGATTTAATTTCTCACAGTATGAAAACAACCACTTGGGCTGGACGGTAGAGCGACGGTCTTGCTTCATGCAAGTCGGCGTTCAATCCCCGACCGTCCAAGTGGTTGGGCACCATTCCTTTCCCCCGTCTTATTACAAATCCTTATCCTGGCCCCTCCCACCAAGTGGTCGCATCACAAATCCTTATCCTGGTATATAGTCGTAATGGCTTGGCGCTTTCCCCTGATAATTCATTCATTCACAGTATGAAAGATAAAACTTTGAGACGAATAGGAAATATTTATAATCTTCGTTTAACTTACACAATTTGCTGAACTATTTGCCTTAATGAAGACTGTTATGTCACTGTAGCTCTCACATAACTAAAACATGAAACAAATAATTCGAATAATTTTGCATTATTTTTATTAATCCTATACATGAATTTTAGTTAGGGTGATACCCCACAAGAATACTTTACAATTTCTGTTTTGTTTTTCAATACTTATAGTTTCTTGTGTCAACTGGAAAACGCCTTCGTGCATTGGGTTGAAATTTTCAAGACTAGTGGTGAATGAAGGAGTCATGTTATTATTGGCCCTTGTAGCCCCCTGCCCCCACAACCACCACTACAACCATCACTACGCACCCCGTCCTCCTAAGGCTTACCAACGTCAAGAAACGATTAATTTAAAGTGTTCTCTCCTAACCTACCAGAGGACCCAATACAGAAAACAGGAGAGTACGTCACTTTCGCAAGCCGCTTCTATTTTTTAGTATGAAAATTTTCTGCCTTAAGTAACGCATACGAACAACAAACGACATCTTTTGTAAGGGGACACGGCACGGGCACATGTACTGCACACAACCCCTCAGCACTAGACAGCGCTCCCGCGGAAGATACAGCCCTTGTGACCTCGGCCGCAGCAGCTGGAGGCGGGGAGGAACCACACACACCAACTCGACGCACTCACCGCCAATCGAGTGGTCCGCAGACACCTCTGTCACCACCGGAGCATCCGAAGACCCAGGCACAGCCTCACAGAGGCCCCCGGGACCTCCAGAAGGAGGAAGTCCTCCTCCCAGAAGAGGTTAACATGGTCCACACCGCCAGCGTGGCAGCCGGCAGCCTGGTGCCCTGACAACCCGCATCGGAAGGAAGTACGGGGCTGGCCAGCATAGAAGATCCTGATGTAAAACCCCATGAGCATGACGGAGAATGGGATGGGAGTCTTGAGGCGCATGGTCAATGTCCGGGTCCCATTCGAGACGCCCTTCAGTCTGTCAGAGGAGATGACGTTCATACAGACGTGCAACACACGCCCAAAGCGGTTAAAGTAGCGCCTCAACAGGTCGTCTGGGAACGGCCCACATGATCGCGCCGCTAGGATTCAAGATGGTCGTGAATCCAACATCTCCAGGCAACCGGAAGAAGCGCCCGTCATAGCGGTCGACAAAATCTCTCAAGAAATCCAGGCGGTCCAACTTGACCACTGCCCGGTGACCGGAGACAACCTGCACACCACAGAAAGCGGTCACATCAACCCGCAGGACGTCAGCCAACACCACTTCCACTGTTGGGTAATCCGCTTTTCCAGTAAAGTCATCCATACCAATTGTCCAAGCCCGCTGAACAGGGGGTACGGGCAGCCCATCCTGCCGGCCAGCACGGCCACAAGGCCCCGCAACAGTTACCACCAACGACCGCCCACAACCATGGACAGGCTAATACTGGAGTACTCAGTACACAGCAGTGACCGCCCCCTCCGACGGTCGGGCGTGGAATCACGGCCTCATAAACTATTGTTACACAGTATGTAGAGAGAAGTAGCCGTCAATCATGGCTGAGCTTATGACCTGTTAACCTGACAGAGCTGTCAATTTGCCTGTCTAATTTTTTATATTGATTTCCGTGGTTATTTTATCCTGCAGTTGCAACTGTTGATGTATAAATGGTTATAAAATTGTCTTCACTAAGTTATGAAGTTATAACTTCATAACTTATAACCAAGTTATAATTATGAAGTTATAACTAGCGCTGTACTCTTTCCAGCAGGTAATAAAGTGAGAGCGTTTGCAAGGGAACAGATCTTCCTCCTTGAGGTGAAGAACTTTGTTCTTTCACATCTAACATTGTTTATTGAATCATATTTATTTACTTTGATTAACATACGTTAGTTCAGTAGACAAAATTAATGAGAAGAGTCGAGACTAATGAAGGCTACAAGAAGACCCAAACTGCAAAATTGATCCAATAAATGGCTTCTAGAGTTCAATACTTGTAAGTGTAAGATGATGAGACAGGGTACAGGAAAAATATATATACAGATACTCAAGATAGTACACAGTGAAAAAACCCACACCCTTGAAGCAATAAAAGATGAGGACTAAGATATAACACTAAGTCTTATCACAGTGGATAACATATATACGCTAAGAACAGTATGTTCAAAACTGACATATATTAGTACACCCTTAAACCAAGTCGATAAGAAGGCACTCAGAACATTGTATGATATTACGTGAGACTAATTCTAGAGTATGAAACTCTAGTGTGGTATTTTGACCTCAGAAACACAAAATTAAACTTGAGAAGGAGCAAAAGAGACATCTGAGAGACATTAGGAATATGTGTAGAATAAAAAAACCCACATTGTTTGAGTTAGGAAAACACTATTTGTCAAATATTGATACAGTTCTTAAAAGATTTCCCCATTTTGCACCCGCAAGATAACGTAAGCTTTTAAGGGTTGATAAATGTTAATCTTCTTGTTTGAGGAGCTGTTCACTTGAGACAGTTAAGCAAGTCCCAGCTGTGTCTGGGTACAAGTGACAGGATGAACAACCCAGCGGGTTTTCTTCCTATTGGGGAGTGTTGTACATGCTGCTATGGCGGTGTGTTCACTCACAAGATGAGTGGCGCTGCCCAATAAACTCGCCCCTCGGAGCAAAATTTAAAAAATTTAAAAGGAGCAAAAATCTGCAACGAGGTTGATTTCAAAACTATTTGGCAGAAAGAAACAGAGAAGCCATGATAGACACATCAACTATTTCAAGGTAATGACAAGGCGAAAATCGAGAATTTTTTTTATAATATATATATATATATATATATATATATATATATATATATATATATATATATATATATATATATATATATATATATATATATATAAATGCCTATATAACGTATAGGCATTTTTTGTATCAACCAATGTATGTCTTGTAACCTTTAAATAAACAATAAAGCAAAAAAGCAAAAAAAAAAAGGAATGGGATGGTAGGAGAAAAGCACACAGAAACTGTGTTGGATGGCACCTACATTCCCTCTAATGCGTAGTGTATGGTTTCCTCCGAGGCTATGGGTCCCCCTTTTTCCTGCCAGAGGTGGTACTCCCTCCCCTATATATATATATATATATATATATATATATATATATATATATATATATATATATATATATATATATATATATATATATATATATATATATATATATATAACAATAACCCAGAGAGACCACATTAGGAAGTTAGAAACACAAGAACCATAGTGATGTAAAAAAACTAAAAGTGTTACATGTGTTATTTCTAATTTGTGAATAGACTAATATTTTTTTATCGAAAATAGGAAAACAGAATGTACCAAACAGAAATATAATAAAATAATCCGTCTATTCACAAATTAGAAATACCACGTGTAGATCGGGAGTCATTGCAATAGACGACCAAAAGCCGGGAACTTTGCCAATGCTGAAGAAGATCAGAGTGAGAGAAGGGAAGAGAGCCATGCAAAAGGGGTCTCCCACGCACGCTAGTCAATACCCTCTGGACTGCATGACGCCACAGCCACACTCACAATCCCTACACTCAAAATTATACCCAGTTATATTACCTTCAACTTAGTAACACAACTTTAGTCAACATGATGAACAGTTCATATATGAAACGTGTAAACAGAAAGTGTATAGGTAAAAATGAGTGTGTGAAGACCCAGGTATGAGTGTGGAGGCCTCAAGTGTGAGTGTGGAGGCCCAAGTGTGAGTGTGGAGGCCCAAGTGTGAGTGTGGAGGCCCAAGTGTGAGTGTGGAGGCCCAAGTGTGAGTGTGAAAGCCCCAAGTGTGAGTGTGGAGGCCCCAAGTGTGAGTGTGGAGGTCCACGTGTGAGTGTGGAGGTCCACGTGTGAGTGTGGAGGTCCACGTGTGAGTGTGGAGGTCCACGTGTGAGTGTGGAGGCCCAAGTGTATGGCATTAGAGGTTTAATTGTGTGGTTATTGAGACCTAAGTAGGTAAGTGTGGAAGCCTTCGTGTGAAAATGAGGAGGCCAAACTGTATAAGTGTAGAAACCTAGGTTTGCGAGTGTGGTGGCCTATGTGTGTGTCGGTGGTAAGGCCAAAATGTATGTGTGGAAGTCACAGTATTTGCTATGGACGCCAAGGTGTGGAGGTCAAAGTTCGGAGATTAAAAAGAGTGTGAAGGCCACTAGGTCGACCAATAGTGCTCTTTACTCAATTTAGATTTTCTTTTTGTTTAAGAAATCCACCCAAAACACAAATATCTTTAAAATGAAGCAGTGTTAAAAACCAACTCTTGCTTTTCTAAATATAATTAACAATTAAAAATAATATTTGAGATACGTTTGTGTAGTTTCCGCCTGTAAGGCTGCTCCTCCTCTTAATATATGACTTCCTTGTTGTTGACAGATCGGCAGCTGCTCTCGCTCAACCAGCAGGTATCAACTGGTATATTGTTACGAGTGCACAGGGAGAGCCAGACTGGTTAGCTGACTGGCTGGTTGATTCATTTGTTGGTTGGTTGATTGGCAAGATGCCTGGCTGGCTGGCTAATTGATTGAGTGGGTGGTTGACTGGTTGGCTAATTGAGTGGCTGGTTGACTGGTTGGCTAATTGAGTGATTGGTTAATTGATTGACTGGTTGGCTAATTTATTGAGTGACTGGCTGACTGGATGATTGAGTGGCTGGCTGGCTGGCTAATTGAGTGGGTGGCTGGCTGGTTGGCTAATTGATTGAGTGACTGGCTGGCTGGCTAATTGATTGAGTGACTGGCTGGCTAATTGATTGAGTGACTGGCTGGCTGGCTGGCTAATTGATTGAGTGACTGGCTGGCTGGCTGGCTAATTGATTGAGTGACTGGCTGGCTGGCTGGCTAATTGATTGAGTGACTGGCTGGCTAATTGATTGAGTGACTGGCTGGCTGGCTGGCTAATTGATTGAGTGACTGGCTGGTTAATTTAATGAGTGACTGGCTGACTGGATAATTGATTGAGAGGCTGGCTGACTGGCTGGATAATTGAGTGAGTGGCTGGCTAACTGGCTGGATAATTGAGTGGCTGTCTGACTGGCTGGCTTGTTGGCTGACTAGATCCACTGCTTTACTAACCAGAGGCTGGCGAGTGTTTGCTTGAAGATACAGTACAGGTCCTGGTCCGGTACTCATGTCTCTCCCTGAGGAAATACATCTATCTTGTGACAGCCAGTGTTGATCGGCCTGCCAGTCAACCCAATTGTCTACGTGTATCTGCCTGTCTGACTGCCTGCTGGCCTGCCTGCTCGTGCCTGCATATCTGCCTGCCTGCTTCTCTGTTTTCATATGTATGGATTTGCTGAGGTCGATGCAACTTCTCTTCCAGCGTATCATCATCACATTATATATATATATGCAATTACACATATATATGCGTATGTATATTGCTCTCTGGGAACTCTGCAACCTTTAAGGATCGAACGAGGTCACCAGGTCAACCCGAGCACCGGGTTGACCTGGTGGAGTTGACCCGATTGACCCAGGTTTAAAGGGATGACCCTTAAATAGCTGAGTCTTTAGGTGCCTCGGTTGACCCAGGAGAGCATGTAGTCTGCACTACCAACATGCGTGCCAACATACGTGGCAACATGAGTGCCAACATACGTGTAACTGTGGTCATAACTAGGGCTTGCGACAACATAGAGCAAACAGCCGGGTCCAGATTTACTTGTTATAGTGTCAAAGACTTTTTGGGTCACCTGGCTGTGCTCCATGAACGAACTAATGTGTAAGACTTGATAATAGTCTTGATAACAATTGATAAAAAGTTTGTACTTCCATACTCGACCATAGCTGTTGCGGGCGCGCGTGTGTGTATATGTGTATGTGTATGTGTATATGTGAATGTGTGTGTGTGTGTGTGTGTGTGTGTGTGTGTGTGTGTGTGTGTGTGTGTGTGTGTGTGTGTGTGTGTGTGTGTGTGTGTGTATGTGTAACGGGAAAGCCATGACTGTTGCACCTTATGAGCATGTTATAGGTGCTTCAATTATATGCTTGTCAAAAAATAGCCTTCTTTCAGCATTCTTTGTTTAATTAACTCAACACAAAACACTTCTTCGTACTTAGTCAATTACACAAAGTAACTTGGTCGCTTAGCAAACATTTTACGAAATAGTTACAGTGGTCCTCTTGGTTCAAATTTGTGATGTTTCAATATCCAGAAATAGTTTAAATTGATTGGCTTATTTCTGTACCAAATGTCATGTTTGTTTCACAAATTTAGTTTGCTATGCCGACCTACGCTCATCCTGTGGGAGTAGGAGACCCCCCTACCCATCCTGTGGGAGTAGGAGACCCCCCTACCCATCCTGTGGGAGTAGGAGACCCCCCTACCCATCCTGTGGGAGTAGGAGACCCCCCTACCGATCCTGTGGGAGTAGGAGACCCCCTACCCATCCTGTGGGAGTAGTAGACCCCCTACCCATCCTGTGGGAGTAGGAGACCCCCTACCCATCCTGTGGGAGTAGGAGACCCTCTACCCATGCTGTGGGAGTAGGAGACCCCCTACCCATGCTGTGGGAGTAGTAGACCCCCTACCCATCCTGTGGGAGTAGGAGACCCCCTACCCATGCTGTGGGAGTAGTAGACCCCCCTACCCATCCTGTGGGAGTAGCAGAAAAGGATACAGAGGCATATAATGGTCTCAAGCACTGAATGAATGAATTAAATATAGGTCAAGATACCCCATGGTGTGAGTGAGGTGAGTGGGGTGAGTGGTGTGAGTGGGGTGAGTGGGGTATAGGGGGAAGAACTAGCATTGTTTTATGCTCTTTCTAGCTATGAATATGGACCTTATAGAACCTTAGCATATTGGTCATGCAATGATCATTCCCAACGCTGTGGGTAACTGGTGGCTTTATTAAACAGTTACTTTGCCCAGTGTGTAATTAACGTGTCTAATGTAGTCTATTGTATTATTATTATTATTATTATTATTATTCATTCTCGTGGCAGCTCATCTCTTTATTAAATTTCTCCCACCGACCTAGGAAATGTAGATGTTTATCTCTCAGAATGTTTGGTAATATGTTTATTGTTTGTGATGTGTGTCTATGTATGTATTAACACGATGTACTGAACGGGGTGAGAATAGCTTGAGCTACCTCATCCCTTTGTGTGTATTTTACCTCAATAAACTTATTTCAATTTCAATTTCCCACTGACCAATCAGTGGTCTAAGACTCTACGTTCTCTGTTTACAATCAGGGACTATGGGGTTCGATCCCGGAGCGGGACGGAAGTGAAAAAAATAAGTTTCCTTTCATCGAATGCCTTTTTTCACCCAATAGTGAATAGGTACCCGGAAGATAGGCAATTATTGCAAGGTTGCATCCTGGGGAGGGTCGGTAGTTCGATCTAGCGATGGGAACTCGATACAAGTGTAAAGGATATAATTCATATATATATACACGGCCTTCCTGTCCCCGACAATGGGAATTTCCCCGCCCCCTCATAATTCTCTCCCCAACCGTCTCCAGTTCTGGCCAGGTTCCTCCCCCACTTAGCAGGCGCGTGGGTGTGTGTGGGTGGGGGAGGGGAGGGGGGGGGAGAGAGCGCGCGCCGTGGGAGGTGGGGTGGCTGGGCGCTCCCATGTAGTGTGGTGGCGCCCGTTGTGGTGTGTGTACAGCCAGGGTGGTGGAGCCAAGCAGCCAGGACGACGCTGGTACTACCACCACATCTGCCTCATCTACACCATACACCACCATACGACCACCATCACCATACACCACCATACAACCACCAGCACCACGCAACACTATATGTTCAACACACAGGGAGCAGGAGACCCTACACATCATCATACATCATTATACATCACCATCTGAGCTACAACATCGCTACATCTCTACTACAGTGAGTTACAGTGATACTTGATTTAATTATACGAGAACAAACGGAAGAGGAGAGAATATTAAGTGTTTGTGTGTGTGTGTGTGTGTGTTTACTAGTTGTGTTTTTGCGGGGGTTGAGCTTTGCTCTTTCGGCCCGCCTCTCAACTGTCAATCAACTGTTTACTAACTACTTTTTTTTTTCTTTTTTTTTCCACACCACACACACACACACACACACACACACACACACCCCAGGAAGCAGCCCGTGACAGCTGACTAACTCCCAGGTACCTATTTACTGCTAGGTAACAGGGGCACTTAGGGTGAAAGAAACTTTACCCATTTGTTTCTGACTCGTGCGGGAATCGAACCCGCGCCACAGAATTACGAGTCCTGCGCGCTATCCACCAGGCTACGAGGCCCCTAGAATGTGTGTGTGTGTATGTGTGTGTGTGTGTACTCACCTAGTTGTACTCACTTAGTTGTGTTTGCGGGGATTGAGCTCTGGCTCTTTGGTCCCGCCTCTCAACCGTCAATCAACTGGTGTACAGATTCCTGAGTCTATTGGGCTCTATCATATCTACACTTGAAACTGTGTATGGAGTCAGCCTCCACCACATCACTTCCTAATGCATTCCATGTGTCAACCACTCTGACACTAAAAAAGTTCTTTCTAATATCTCTGTGGCTCATTTGGGCACTCAGTTTCCACCTGTGTCCCCTAGTGCGTGTGTCCCTTGTGTTAAATAGCCTGTCTTTATCTACCCTATCAATTCCCTTGAGAATCTTGAATGTGGTGATCATGTCCCCCCTTACTCTTCTGTCTTCCAGCAAAGTGAGGTTTAATTCCCGTAGTCTCTCCTCGTAGCTCATACCTCTCAGCTCGGGTACTAGTCTGGTGGCAAACCTTTGAACCTTTCCCAGTTTAGTCTTATGCTTGACTAGATATGGACTCCATGCTGGGGCTGCATACTCCAGGATTGGCCTGACATATGTGGTGTACAAAGTTCTGAATGATTCCTTACACAAGTTTCTGAATGCCGTTCTTATGTTGGCTAGCCTGGCATAAGAAGGCTGAAGACATTGGAGAAGACATTTTTCAGGCTGAAGACATTGAAAAACGACAAGCAGATATTAATAAAGTTTTCGATTGATCAGCAGAAAATAACATGATGTATCACAGTGATAAATTCTAGGTACTCAGGTACGGGAAAAATAAGGACCTTAAACATAATACAGGGTACAAAACACAATCAAATCTACCCATAGTAGGAAAACAACATGTCAAAGATTTTTGAATAATGATGTCCGACGACCTAACGTTTAGGGAGCATAACCAACCAAATATTGCATCAGCCCGAAAAATGATAGGATGGATTACGAGAACTTTCAAATCCAGGGATCCCATCACAATGGTTGTAGTATTTAAATCACTTGTGCTGTCCCGTCTTGAGTACTGCTCAGTACTCACTTCCCCCTTCAGAGCAGGAGAGATTGCTGAAATAGAGGGAATACAGAGAACATATACGGCACGCATAGACGCGATAAAGCACCTAAATTATTGGGATCGTCTCAAAGCTCTCCAAATGTACTCTCTAGAAAGGAGACGAGAGAGATATCAAATAATATACACGTAGAAAATACTGGAGGGACAGGTCCCAAATCTACACAGTAAAATAACAACATACTGGAGTGAACGATATGGAAGAAAATGCAGAATAGAACCAGTGAAGAGCAGAGGTGCCATAGGCACAATCAGAGAACACTGTATAACCATCAGAGGTCCACGGTTGTTCAACATCCTCCCAGCGACTATAAGAAATATTGCAGGAACAACCGTGGACATCTTCAAGAGAAAACTAGTTTGTTTTCTAAAAGAAGTTCAGGGCCAACCGGGCTGTGGTGGGTATGTAGGCCTTCGGGCCGCTCCAAGTAACAGCCTGGTGGACCAAACTCTCACAAGTCAAGCCTGGCCTCGGGCTGGGTTTGGGGAGTAGAACTCCCAGAACCCCATCAACCAGGTATGTGGGCATCGGTGGACCGGACTGACATAATATCAACCCCAGGTCTTTCTCTCTCTCTGATTCTAGAATAATTTCATCTCCCAAATGATACCTTGTATCTGGCCTCCTGCTCCCTACATCTATCTTCATTACATTTTATTTGCCTGGGGTTAAACTCTAACAGCCATTTGTTCAACCATTCCTGTAGCTTGTCCAGGTCTTCTTGAAGCCTCAAACTGTCCTCCTCTGTCTTAATCCTTCTCATAATTTTGGCATCATCAGCAAACATTGAGAGGAATGAGTCTATACCCTCTGGAAGATCATTTACGTATATCAAACACAGGATGGGTCAGAGTACAGAACCCTGTGGGGACTCCGCTTATGACTTCACGCCAATCTGAGGTCTCACCCCTCACAGTAACTCTGTGTCCTATTGCTTAGGTACTCCCTTATCCACTGGAGCACCCTGCCAGTTACTCTTGCCTGTTTCTCCAACATATACACCAGCCTCTTATGGGGTACTGTGTCAAAGGCTTTCCAACAGTCCAAGAAGATGCAGTCTGCCCAACCTTCTCTTTCTTGCTTAATCTTTGTCACTTGTTCTTAGAATTCTATTAAACCTGTGAGGCAAGATTTACCATCCCTGAACCCATGTTGGTGGGGTGTCACAAATCTCTTCTCTCCAGATTTGCTACTAGGTTCTTTCTCGCGATCTTCTCCATCACCTTGCATGGTATACAAGTTAAGGATACTGGCCTGTAGTTCAGTGCCTCTTGCCTGTTACCCTTTTTGTATATTGGGACTACATTAGCCGTCTTCCATATTTCTGGTAAGTCTCCCTTCTCCAGTGACCTACTATACACCTTGGAGAGTGGCAAGCAAAGTACTTCTGCACACTCTTTCAGTACCCATGGTGAGATTCCGTCCAGACCAACAGCCTTTCTCATGTCCAGATCCAACAGATGCCTCTTTACCTCATCTCTGGTAATTTCGAACCCTTCCATGGCCTCCTGGTTTACTGCTACATCTCCTAGCTCAAGGACTTCATCTCAATCTATTGTGAAGACCTCCTGGAATCTCTTGTCGAGTTCTTCACATACCTCTTTGTTATTCTCTCTGCACCTGTCCTCACCCGTTTTAAGTTTCATCACCTATTCTTTCACTGTTGTTTTCCTCCTGATATGGCCGTGGAGCACTTTTGGTTCGGTCTTGGCTTTATTTGCTACATTATTTTCATAGTGTCTTTCTGCTTCTCTTCTCACACTGACATACTCATTCCTGGTTCTCTTAGATCTCTCTCTGCTTTCTGCTGATCTGTTATTTCGGAAGTTCCTTCACGCCTTTTTGTTCCTTAACTTTGCTTCCAAACATGCCCTATTAAACCATGGATTCTTCTTTTATTTCTCTTTTTTTTCTTTTGGGCCGAGATAAACCTGTTTACTGTTTCCTAACTGGTGTACAGTTGTGTGAGAGAGAGGGGGAGGATAAGGGAAGATAGGGAGGTATAGATGAGGAAGGGGAGAGCAAGAAATGAGATAAGAAGATAAGAAAAAACAATATTCGGAATTACAATACTGGATTATAAAAAAAAAATATGAATGTATCAATGGAAGGGACTGCCATTGCAGAAATGCTTAGAAAGCGTTCAGATGTTGCAAAAATGTTTAGAAAGAGTTTAGAAGAGTTTAGCAGTCTCCGTGGTGTAGTGGTAACGCACTCGCCTGGCGTTTCGCGAGCACTTTGTCCTGGGATCGTATCCTGGGCACTGGACACAAATCCTTAACTGTAGCCTCTGTTTAACTCAACAGTAAAATGGGTACCTGGTTGTTAAACGATTTTTCTCGGGGTCGTATTCCAGGGAACATTGGATTAAGGACTTGCCCGAAGTGCTATGTGTACTAGTGGCTGTATAGAATGTAAGAACTCTTGTATATATATAAATAATAAATAATTAATAAAAGAAGCAATGTCCAAAGTGAAGGAAGTAGCCATGAAAGCAGCTACCTTACAGGAAGCAGCAAGGTGCACTAGTCAACTGCTGGAGAGGTACGAGTGTGGAAGACTCGACACTGGAAGACAGAAGAGAGTTTGGGAAGACATGATCACAACCTACAAAATTCTCAGAGGAATTGACAGGGTAGATAAAGATAAATTGTTCAACACGGGAGGTACGCGAACAAGGGGACACAGGTGGAAACTGAGTACCCAAATGAGCCACAGGGACGTTAGAAAGAACTTTTTCAGTATCAGAGTAGTTAACAGATGGAATGCACTAGGCAGTGATGTGGTGGAGGCTGACTCCATACACAGTTTCAAATGTAGATATGATAGAGCCCAGTAGTCTCAGGAATCTGTACATCAGTTGATTGACAGTTGAGAAGCGGAACCAAAGAGCCAGAGTTCAACCCCCGCAAACACAAATAGGAGTGCACACACACACACACACACACACACACACACACACACACACACACACACACACACACACACACACACACACACACACACACAAAGAGAGGCGCCACGGGTCTCGCCTTGTGATTGACTTCGTCCGAGTTGGAGAGCTCTTGCCAGGGAGGAATGACTGGGCACCAATCCTTACATTTTCACCGCCTGTTTATCCAACAGCACTTAGGGACCTGGTTGTAAGCTGAATGGCGGCTTGTGTGCCAGGGGAAACTAGTGGCACCTAACTACACTACTCTTATATCCACCAGAGTAAATTCAAATTCGACACCACTCGACCAATAAGCTCATCCGACACCACTCGACCAATAAGCTCATCCGACACCACTCGACCAACACAAACTTGTCGAATACCTCACTAAACATTATAGTGTGACTCTTGTTGTTTGGGGAGTGAGAAGGCTGGGTGAAGGGAGTGAAGCTTAGTGCAAGTGTTATCAATGTGGGGTGTGTGTGTGGGGGGGGGTGTATGGTGTATGTGTGTATGTGTGTGTATTTGTGTCTGCAGAATCGACCTATTAGCTCTTAGACCCCGCCTTTCTAACCAATTTTATTTTTCCTCAATTATGTCTACTACAGATATTTCACACACACACACATGTGGGGGTGGGGTGTGTGTGTGTGTGTGTGTACTCACCTATTTGCGCTTGCGGGGGTTGAGCTCTGGCACTTTGGTACCGCCTCTCAACTATCAGTCAACTGGTGTACAGATTCCTGAGCCTATAGATCTCTATCGTATCTACATTTGGAACTGTGTATGGAGTCAGCCTCCACCACATCACTGTCTAATGCATTCCATCTGTTAACTAGTCTGACACTGAAAAAATTCTTTCTAATGTCTCTTTGGCTCATTTGGGTACTAAGTTTCCACCTGTGTCCCCTTGTTCGTGTTCCACCCGTGCTGAAGAGTTTGTGTTTGTCCACCCTGTCAATTCCTCTGAGAAATTTGAAGGGGGTTATCAATTCTCCCGTTACTCTTCTGTCTTCCAGGGACGAGAGGTTTAGCTCCCGTAGCCTTTCCTCGTAGCTCATACCTCTCAGTCAGTTCTGGGACTAGTCTGGTGGCGTACCTCCGAATCTTCTCTTTGTCTTGTGTCTACCTAGGTATGGACTCCAGGCTGGAGCTGCATACTCCAGGATTGGTCTGACATACAAGGTATACAAGGTCCTGAACGATTCTTTACACAAGTTTCTAAAGACAGTTCTTATGTTGGCCAATCTAGCATATGCCGCTGATGATATCGTTTTGATGTGGACTTCTGGCGACAGGTTCCGTGATATCACGGAATATCAACCCCCAGACTGATATTAACAATCTGATATCAGCCCCTAGATCTTTCTATTTGACTCTTGCAGGATTTCACCTCCCAGGTGGTACCTTGTGTTCAGCCTCCTGCTCCCTTCGCCTAATTTCATTACTTTACCCTTTCCTGAGTTGAACTTTAGTAGCCATTTTCTAGACCATTCCTCCAGTTTATTCAGGCTGTCCTGTAGTCTCTGTATCTTCATCTATCTTGATTCGTCTCATAATTTTTTTGCATCATCAGCAAACATTGAGAGAATGAGTCTATACCCTCTGGCAGATCGTTTACATTATATCAGAAACAGGATGAGTCAAAGTACAGAGCCCTGTGGGACTCCGCTGGTGACATTTCACCACTCTGATATGTTCCCCCCCCCCCCTCACAATTACTAGCTGTTTCCTGTTGCTTAGATACTCCCTTATCCACTGGAGCACCTTACCTTTTACTTCTGTCTGTTTCTCCAACTTCTGTAACAGCTTTTTATAGGGTACTGTTTCAAAGGCATTCTGATAGTCCAAGAAAATGCAATCTGCCCACCCTTCTCTTTCTTGCCAAATTTTTGTCGCTTGGTCATAGAATTCAATTAAGCATGTCAGACACGATTTACCATTCCTGAACCCATGTTGGTGGGGGATGTTACAAACCTCTTTCCCTCCAGATGCTCTATGAGCCTTTTTCTCACTATCTTCTCCATCACCTTGCATGGTATACAAGTTAGGGAAACTGGCCTGTAGTTCAGTGCCTCTTGCCTGTAACCCTTTTTGTATATTGGGACTACATTAGCTGTCTTCCAGCTTTCTGGTAGGTCTCCTGTTTTTACTGACCTGTTATACACCATAGAAGTTATCTTCTTATCTTGAGGTTATCTTGAGATGATTTCGGGGCTTTAGTGTCCCCGCGGCCCGGTCCTCGACCAGGCCTCCACCCCCAGGAAGCAACCCAAGACAGCTGACTAACTCCCAGGTATCTATTTACTGCTAGGTAACAGGGGCATCAGGGTGAAAGAAACTCTGCCCATTGTTTCTCACCAGCGCCCGGGATCGAACCCGGGACCACAGAATCACGCGTCCAGCGTTCTGTCCGCTCAGCCACCGGCTCCTAAGGGTTGTGGGATTTATTTCCAGTAGTCTATTCTTATAGCTTAACCCCCTTAACTATGGCACAAATGTTGCTGCATACCTCGCCGGCTTGTCTAACATCCCCCCATTTGTCTTTTCTGTCTAGCTCAATGTTGAAATTCAGCAGCGTTTTGGCATTTACCGCTTCGGCGGGTAGGCGGTTCCATGGGCTGACTCTACGGGCGAAAAGGCATCTCCTGTTTTCCATTTTCTGTTTACCATTTACTGTTCGGCCCGCCTCTCAACTGTTACTAACTACTAACTAAATTTATCACTCAGAATGTTCGGTAATATGTTTATTGGTTGTGATGTGTGTCTATGTATGTATTAACACGATGTACTGAATGAGGTGAGGATAGCTTCAGCTACCTCATCCCTTTGTGTGTATTTGATTTACCTCAATAAACTTATTTCAATTTCAACTAACTAATTAATCCCCCCCCCCACACACACATCCCCAGGAAGCAGCCCGTAACAGCTGTATCTCCCTGGTAACTATTTACTGTTAGGTAACAGGGGCATCAGGGTGAAAGAAACTCTACCCATTGTTTCTCGCCGGCGCCGGGAATCGAACCCCGGACCACAGGATTACGCGTCCAACGTGCTGTCCACTCAGCCACCGGCTATGTGTATGTGTGTACTCACCTTGTTGTGTTTGCGGGGGTTGAGCTCTGGCTCTTTGGTCTCGCCTCTCAACCGTCAATCAACAGGTGTACAGATTCCTGTGTGTGTGTGTGTGTGTGTGTGTGTGTGTGTGTGTGTGTGTGTGTGTGTGTGTGTGTGTGTGTGTGTGTGTGTGTGTTAACCCCCCCCCCCAGCACTCAGAGCCCCCCCCCCTTGTAACTGTAGCCAGAAGAGCAACAGACACCGGCTAACGAGGTCTTTCCACACTTACAGACTCAAGACGCTTCCTCCTACCTTCCCGACCTGTCAATGTCATCTGGACGCAAGGCGGTGGAATGTTATTTAAGACAAGGTACTTTCTGCTGCCTATAACCCATAGTCTGCGCGTCACGCATGCGCTCCGCATGTTTAGACGTAAGTACTGCAACTCCGTATATTTTTAGAGTTACCATAAATGCGTCTTTTTTGGTAGACGTAAAAGTGTTGCAACTGCGTTGATTTTGTTTTGAATTTGTATCTAATATAGATTTAAATAACCGAGTAAGTCAATAACTGTAAATTTAATTAAATAAGCTGTTTATTGAACATTCAAGAACGTGTTTAAGGCGACTTATTTCTGACTACCAATTCGTCTACCTTGTATAGGGAATTGGAACAGATAAATTAAAATGTTAAATCAATTAATATAAATGTATTTACAATAACGGAGGTTATTCAAAGTTTATAATGTAATTAAAATTCAAAGTTGTAAGACAGTATATATTTTCTGGAATTGTAATGGGCGGATTTGCATAAAAAAAAAAAAGATAATTTATTTTGGTTCCGCCAGAGCGTTGAAAGTATGGATGCTATAGAGCTGTAGTGACCTTAGAGAGAAGCGTGATTTTCGTACCAAAGAAAAGTCCTGGAGGATATCTTTATATCTGGAGGATATAAAGGATATCTGGAGGATGTCCTGGAGGATATCTATTTATATTTTATAAAAGGATATCTTTTTCTGTTATCACGGGGTATCAAACAGCAGAGCCACGATTTCATCTCGAGTTTACGAAACTTGTACATTTTTTTCTTGGATCATGGCGGCTTTGTTTACATTTATTAAGTAGCTTAGGAACTTCTAAGCTTACGAGCTTCAGGGATGAGGAGATTTCGGTTGCATATTGGCTTGGGGACCATTGAAGCTTATTTGTACACACACACACACACACACACACACACACACACACACACACACACACACGGGACCAAAGAGCCAAAGCTCAACCCCCGCAAGCACAATTAGGTGAGTACACACACACACACACACACACACACACACACGAAATCTTTGGTGTAGGGAGGTGGGATCGAACTCGCGGCTCGGGGTCACTCCCATCGTGACTGATAGTCAAGGTGTGGGTCCTGGATGACTGGACTTAAAACAGACCATTAGAAACAAAGGAGAAGACAGCCCATATCAACACTTTCGGCAGTCTCCTCCATGGAAAGAATCGAGTCTAAAGATAATCATTGAAGGATTACCTGGTACAAAATCAGTATGTGACTCGCAGAGGCTCAAAGCAGTCATAGAACAACAAATGGAAACTATCTCAAGATCTACAACGACTCACATCTTCACAGACGGATCAGTCGATCAAGAAAGAGGTTCTGCTGGGGCAGCAGTTTACACTAACAACCATGAAGCTTACTGGAGCATGAATAGTGGGTGCTCAACATTGCAAACATAATTATATGCCCTGAAGCAGGCCATAAACTATACAATTGAGAATAATTTACATGACGTCATTATTCATACCGACTCTAAATCTTCACTCCAGTCATTGTTATCCAGCCAGCACAGAGATAATGTACAACTCATCACAGAAATCCTACATAGAGGAAAAGAAGCACATAATCTAGGGCTGCCAATCATCTTAAATTGAATACCAAGTCACATTGGCATAGATGGTAATGAAAAGGCAGACTCACTAGCAAAAACTGCCACTGCTCTCCCTGTTGTACAGGTTCAAATACCTCCAAGTTTTTCACAGATTAAGGAGCAAATCAAGAGGAAAATACTCCCAACTGTCAAAAGTCGCCACAGAGCCAAAGTAGCGAAAAGGAAATCCGCTGTAATGTGATACGAACAAGCCACTGGGCACTACTCTTTTAAGTCTGACAAAAATATATCCAGAGACATTGCAGTAGCCATACACAGACTCAGACTTGGTTACAAGTGCTGCTGGGAGGTAATAAACCCAATAGTTAAAGTGTCATATCTGTGGAACAGAAGCAGAAGCGCCACCGGGAACCGGTCGGCCGAGCGGACAGCACACTTTACTTGTGTGGTCCCGGGTTCGATCCCGGGCGCCGGCGAGAAACAATGGGCAGAGTTTCTTTCACCCTATGCCCTTGTTACCTAGCAGTAAATAGGTACCTGAGAGTTAGTCAGCTGTCACGGGCTGCTTCCTGGGGGTGGAGGCCTGGTCGAGGACCGGGCCGCGGGGACACTAAAGCCCCGAAATCATCTCAAGATAACCTCAAGATAGCCACTATAACACTACTTACTGTTAAGTGAAGCAACTGAAGCTCTGCGCATCAAATTCAACATTCAACACATAAGAGCAGTTGCATTAGATGAAAATCCACAGGGACAACAATGGTTAGAAAAGCAGTTGAACAATGGGACACACTAGTGAACACTGAGCATCTATATCCGCCACCACGATAACGTTATTAAAACTTTGGCCCAAATATCACAGTAACAAAGTTATCGCGAATAACCGAACTCAATTACGGGCTCACCATAGCCCGTGCTACATGGACATTTCGTTCTGAGTAGCTAAATCTAAAACAGCAACAACGACATCCGGGGTGACCCAGGACGCCGGTTCGAGCCCACCCCCATACTTCAGTGATTTTCTCAGATACATCACGCTGTTGTGGTTTCATTGTGCACTCACTCATACTTAAGATTATATCGTCATTGATTGTAATTTATCCCCACAGACCTTGTTACCTTCAAGAAGGGAGTGATATTCGCATGGTTCCTTGTGGTCACCGCGCTGGCTTATATGTGCCTTCTCTACTTTCAACCAGAATCACTCTACTTCCTCCTGCCGAACTGCGATGAGGTATGGTGTGTGTGTGTGTGTGTGTGTGAGTGTGTGTGAGTGTGTGTGTGTGTGAGTGTGTGTGTGTGTGTGTGTGTGTGTGTGTGTGTGTGTGTGTGTGTGTGTGTGTGTGTGTGTGTGTGTGTGTGTGTGTGTGTGTGTTCACCTATTTGTACTCAACTATTTGTGTCTGCAGGATCGAGCATTGACTCGTGGATCCCGCCTTTCGAGCATCGGTTGATTACAGCAATGACTCCGGTCCTATTTCCCTATCATACCTAGTTTTAAAATTATGAATAGTATTTGCTTCTACAACCTGTTCCTTAAGTGTATTTCATTTTTCCGCTACTCTGTGTGTAATTACCTAAGTGTAGTTACAGGATGAGAGCTACGCTCGTGGTGTCCCGTCTTCCCAGCACTCTTTGTCATATAATGCTTTGAAACTACTGACGGTCTTGGCCTCCACCACCGTCTCACTTAACTTGTTCCAACCGTCTACCACTCTATTTGCGAAGGTGAATTTTCTTATATTTCTTCGGCATCTGTGTTTAGCTAGTTTAAATCTATGACCTCTTGTTCTTGAAGTTCCAGGTCTCAGGAAGTCTTCCCTGTCGATTTTATCAATTCCTGTTACTATGTGTGTGTGTGTGTGTGTGTGTGTGTGTGTGTGTGTGTGTGTGTGTGTGTGTGTGTGTGTGTGTGTGTGTGTGTGTGTGTATGTGTGTCCTGTACTTCCGTTCTGAATAGGATGTACTCGCCTACATGTACTCACCAACATGTACTCATTAATTACTTGAAGCATTACTATAATTTTTAACTTGCAATCAATATGAAAAACAGAATTCGATAGATGGTCCACACCAAGAGTCGACTAGCGGCCATTCATGTCTTCAAAAGTATTTTTCACTACATTGTAACTGAGTCAGTTGGTTGGGGAATAAATTATGACATTATTAATGTGATTTAAGTCACATATGTTAGGGCGAGTTAAGTTATGCTAAGGTAAGTTAGGTTGTTTTATGTTAGGATAACTTGGGGTATGTTAGGATGAGTTAGGTTCAGTTAGGGTAAGTTAGGTTAATGTCCTAGAATAGGTTATGTTATAGTAAATTAAGCTAGGCTAGAATAAGATAAATTAGGTTAGTTTATGTTTGATAAGTATGATTAATACATATTAGGATTGAATAGGCTGGGCTATATAAGGGTAAGTTAAGTTGAATATATAAAATTACAAAATGAACTTGTTATAAATTTCCTTTTCCTTTTGTTGTTGGTATTGAGAGTGTATTATTAATGTCTGATGCAGTAAAACTGGCTTACTGTAGGTAATGCATGCATATGACTGTAAAGCTGCCGCCCAGTTGGATGGGTGTGGAGCACATGACTGTAAAACTGCCGCCCAGTTGGGTGGGTGTGCAGCAAGACTAGTAACTGTGCGACTCACCATAGATGTAAAGTGCCTTGTATAGTGACTGTTGTGAGCCTCTTGTTGAATCACTTGTGACACAAAAGATTATTGATATGTGTATTTGTGTAGGTGATTAAATATGCATGTGTATGTATATATATGTATACGTATGTATATGTACATGTATGCATGAGTATGTGTACATGTATATATGACATTATTAACTTTGCAACTAGCGTCAAAAGATTATTATTTCCTTAGCTAAACGAACTAGAGGGTTCAGTTCCTGAACCGATTATGTGCCTCTGTAATCCTTTACACCACCGCCCACGGGATGAGTATCGGGTGCATAATAAAGAAAGAAATTGAATTGGTGCAGTAGCTTGTGAAGATTTTGAACTTGTAAGGATTTTTAATGTGGTGATGACCCAAGCCACATTTATCTTGGCTTTACCAAGGATTTCAACACTGTTCCCGATAAAGAGAATGGAGACAGGCTTCCACAGAAAGATTGAAACACACGTTATGAAGACTCAACAATAATTGGCTTAAAGGGCGGTTACACCAAAAGTTATATAAAAGGGATTAATCTGAATTGTTTAAAATTCATAAGGTGAAGTTTTGCACATCTTTTCAAGCTAATGGTTTCCCATTTTTCAAATTCAAATGGTGAACAGAGGCATTATAGTTGTACCGTCCAGTCCAAGGGGCCGGCTAATAGACAACCCGTTCTCCTGAACATTTTGACGCATGATTTCCCACAGGCCATAAACTAATGCACTGAAAATGGCAGCGGCTCACCAAACAGCCGTGATATTCCGATTTCTGTTCATGGGCCGTTGTGAAGGTTAAGTTCGAACAATTTAGTACAACAACTTAGTGACGTTGGGGACGGGCTGAATAGACAGACATATAAATCTAAAGCATCTAATCGTTGCAGGCACCGTCAACAGGCGCCGAGGAAGCCCTGCGGTACGTCTCCCCGGGTCACTTTCTCATCGAAGAGGCCGACTTTTGCCGCCGACGTCCCAACCTGTCCATCGTGGCCTATGTCCATTCGTCCATCTCCTCCGTCGAGAAGAGGATGGAGACGAGGGAGACGTGGGCGTCGGCGGGAGCCCACGACGCCAGCGTCAGGATGGGCGTGGTCTTCATGGTGGGGCGCGCCAAGACTGTCCACGAGCAGAGGGTCATCACAGATGAGAGTAGACGCTTCCACGATATTGTGCAGGTGCAGTGCCACCTGTTATGTATACAGGTGCAGTGCCACCTGTTATGTATACAGATGCAGTGACACCTGTTATGTATACAGGTGCAGTGACACCTGTTATGTATACAGGTGCAGTGACACCTGTTATGTATACAGGTGCAGTGACACCTGTTATGTATACAGGTGCAGTGACACCTGTTATGCATACAGGTGCAGTGACACCTGTTATGTATACAGGTGCAGTGACACCTGTTATGTATACAGGTGCAGTGACACCTGTTATGTATACAGGTGCAGTGACACCTGTTATGTATACAGGTGCAGTGACACCTGTCATAGAACACAGTTGTTTTGTCTTGCATTTCAAGACCATTCTCACAATCTACTTGAGAATGGTCCAGGACGGACCGAAACGTCGTCGTCCCTTCACCTTCTAGTGTGTGGTCTGGTCAACTTGCATTTCAGTTTATTTTTCAATTTTGTGATATTAGTGTTTTCTCTTGATTTAAGTACTAATGTGTCTCGGAGTAAGTTTCACGTTGTTTCCCCTCCTGCAATTCATCTCTGGCCTTACTGGCAACTAGGACAAGGATAGGTTAGGTCACTACTGGGACAAGGAGCTGGGATACGAGAATGGTGCCCAACTACTTGGACAATCGGGAATCGAACACATGAGGTAGGGTTGGGCGAGTCATTCTAATTAGTTTATTATGTATTCCAAATACCCACCATGTGGGAGGAGCGGATAGGGTATATTAGTCACATAATGAGTTCCGGAACTAAACCACGTGTTATCTTATCTCAGGAACTCAAGCACATGTTATATAAGCTAACTGTTTACATTTGAGGTGAACTTGTTAAAAACAGGTTTCATTTCCAGGCGATGAGTCACAATAACGTGGCTGAAGTATGTTGACCAGACCACACACTAGACGTTTGAAGGGACGACGACGTTTCGGTCCGTCCTGGACCATTCTCAAGTCGATTGTGAGAATGGTCCAGGACGGACCGAAACGTCGACGTCCCTTCAAACTTCTAGTGTGTGGTCTGGTCAACAGGTTTCATTTGCTCCTGATTTACGATAAAGTTACAAGGGTAGTGATTTAATTACAGTACCGAAATTATCTAATTACAGCACCGTAATTATCTAATTACAAGAGTGTGATAATGTTCCAACAGCCGGTTGTGAAGCAGGCGAGTAAGACACGTGAAGGCAGTGCAAACTTAATGTGTACAATATTAATAAACAACCTTGTAAGTCTTTGATAGGAGTCAGGGCAATTTGCCATCCCGTGCGAAGTTGTTAACATTAGTGACAGAGGTGCGAGCAAGGGCGCCTGACAGCTGAGTGGATAGCGTTTCGGATTCGTAGTCCTCAGGTTCCGGGTTCGATCCCCGGTGGAGGCTGAGACAAATGGGAAAAAAATTTCTTTTACCCTGATGCTCGTGGTACCTAGCAGTAAATAGGTACCTGGGAGTTAGTCAGCTGTCACGGGCTGCTTCCTGGGGGTGGAGGCCTGGTCGAGGACCGGGCCGCGGGAACACTAAGCCCCGAAATCATCAAGATAACCTACCCTATAAACTCTGAAGTGAAGAACAAAAATAATGGAAAAAAAAGATCGTTCCGACATATACAAATGACAGGACAAATTAGTAGCCGAAGCTGCTCTATACCAATTAAACGTCACAAAAAAATATTAATTACACCGTTTTACTGTGGAAGGAGGAGCAGGGGAAGGGTTTAATCTGTAAGCCCAGGTGATTGACACCAAGTGGAAAGACCGAATTAACATTTCCACATCCAATTATGTATGAACTCAATATACGTCTCTGAGTTCATCGTTTGCCTTTTAATAATAGTAACACTACACAAGATTAATCTGGGACTGAACGTTCAAGTATGTTTATCGAGACAAGAAAAAATTACATCTCAAAGGGATAGAGTAGGCTATTTCTACCCCTCAACTGAACGTTCAGGGAAAGCTAATGTGGTCTGGTGGGGACCATGTCTGGTGTTGTGGGGACCACGTGAAGTGGTTGCCAGGTAACACCTAGTAACTATGCAAACTATTTGGTCAATGCCTCTGAATCGCCGTGTGCCCTGCACCGAGCGTATCTATGCCTCCAGAACACACTAGTCAGTGTTAGAGACACTGGGCGAGTGGTTCACATCTCGCACACCGTATTCTCTGCGGTCTACTGACACACTTGTTAGCCTGCCTGAAACTGCTCTCTCCCTCTGGTCACGAATGATATGTAACACTATTTAAAGTCTATAAGTGTGGGCGAGAATTAATACTAATGTGACGTTTATATTTGCAGCACGATGTGTGTTCCATAATGTTTTCTTTAATTCTCAGGGTAACTACACTGATACGTATCACCTGCTGAGCCACAAGGCCCTGATGTCGCTTCAGTGGGTGTCGCGACACTGCCTCCATGTTCCCTGGACCCTGCATGCCGATGACGACGTCCTCATTGACACGTTCTTCCTCACCAAGTTCCTCACAACCAACACTACCTCTTACACCAACAAAATTATATGCTACATCTGGGAGAAATCAATGGTCAGGCGTTCGGGGCGCTGGTGTGTGCCGTCAGTGGAGTTCCCAGAGCCCTTCTACCCGCCATACTGCGCTGGAGGAGCATGGGTCATGTCCACGCCTCTTGGTTCACACCTTCTTGAAGCTACCAGCATTGCCCCCTTCCTGTGGGTCGACGATGTTTATATCACCGGCGTCTTGGCCAAGTATGCCGTCGTTGGACGCTCCAACAAACTGAAGCAGTACGTCAGGAGAGAAGGCATTATCGAAGAGGATTTAGGTAGGTTGATGGTGTGGTTCGAGCCTTCAAGCTCCAGAAAGTCTTGGTGGTTGAAGCTCCTGGTTCACCGCAAGTATCTCGTTCCCTAGCTTCGGTTGTGACTTAGCAGCCCGTCCTCCAAACAAAGACCCAAAGTCCATTCCATGCGCTAGCCAATCCCGCTGTTTATGAATGAAAAACGATTTACACACGACTCACAACTGATGACGTCCGAGCACTTCCGGAACATGTGCTTCGGTGACGACTTTTGTTCGAACTACAACGCTGTAAATGTTTCACTCACGTATTACAAATACAAATAAGCGCCAACAGAACCTAAACACCTAACTTAACTAGTGTCTAAATATGAACAGTGTGGTAATATATAATAATATTAATTTTTATATGAGGAAATTTGTGTTTTCAGCCAAAGAGCCAAAGTGAACTCTATGAATGAACGGCAAGTTAAAATTGATGAATACGTCTTTGTGGTCGACCGCTGGATAGAATGGAATTGGACTGAGGACGGGTTGGACTCGGAGCTCCTTCCGTTTTAGAGAGGGACAAAGAAAGCATAATATTTATTGGTAGCAAATGTACGTCAAATGCTACTTTTTTCCGGGAAATGATGGGGCTTGAAGGATCTGAATAGCAGACGTAATTGCAGGCAATGAGTCACAATAACGTGAGAATAGTCCAGAACTGATCGAAACGTCGTCGTCCCTTCACCTTCTAGTGTGTGGTCTGGTCAACAGCAGACGTAATTGTTTGTTGTTTTAATCTCAGGACCGCCGAGACGAACAGAAAAGCATAATTTGTGGAGAGTATAATAGAGAGATTATCTGGTTTCTCGGCACCTCATTAGGAAGATGTATTTAATGTGTTTACATATGAGACAACTTATCGGTCAATCAGGTGATTCGAGATGAATTTCTCTTCCCTATCCCAGCAATGGACAGGTATTAAGATCAGTGACTGTATTACAAGCCGTATCTAGGGCTCACAAAACAAGATGAACCTCACAGTTCATCTCAGGTTGTCACTTTGAGCTTTATTTGACTGTATGGCGCCCTATTTATGTATTGTTTTCTCGTCAGTATTAAATAAATAACGGCATTACATGTTAATACTGTTACAATTTGGATTTAATTTGAAAATAAGGATATTGTATTTATCCTAAAGTTAGTGTTTACGGTCAAAATTCGAATTAATCCATCTATATGTGTTCCGATGTCTCCTGATGCTTATAGTCTTGGAAAAACAATCCACTCATAGCTTATATGTCTCTTAAATTAGTGTACATTGTTACTCGTTTAATATTAAAAACATTTTAAATCATTATAGAAGTTCGATGCAAATAAATGAACATTACACAAGTAAATACTTATGGGGAGAACTAAATATTGTACATTTTGTTTACCATATTTAATTATAAATATGAAAATTATAAATGAATAAACATTATAGAATTGTTGAGAAATTAAGAGCATCTCATGTCAACAGAAATGTGATTGTTTCAGAACTTTGCAAGTGTTTGGCTAGCGTCCGAGGCTATTCTTTGAGGCTAGATTATCCTATTAGCTTCTCTTGCTAGTGTTCCAGACTATTATTCCAGGCTAGCGTCTGAGAACAGCGTCTCGGGCTAGTGTCTGAAACTAGCATTGCATGCTAACGTCTTTGCCTAGCATCACAGGCTTTCGACTCTGGCAATTAAGTGTGTTAGTAGTTGAAAACAAGCTGTGTCCACAATGTTTCCCCTCCTGATCATCGACTTAACAAGATAAATAAATAAACAAACAAATAAATAAATAAATGTGTCAGCCACCTTATTTTACTGGTGTCCCTTAATGATTATAGTTCAATATGCTTTACTATTATGTACGAAACATCAATCAAATGCAAGTTAACATACGAATCTGAAGCAATCGTTTTCTATTAGCCAAGAAATTAATACTTCATAGTAATGTGTATTCCGTTGTATTCCATCATTATGGATGATGAGACTGTCATCAGTCTCAACTTTACAAATGTAAGAAAACCAAGATTTTAACATCTATTTGACAACATTTTTTGTCATGCTTGTGGCATATTTTTTCAGTCTCTCTAGATACTACGCTAGCTTTGCTCAACGGAACTTTATTTAAAGTTTCCACAATAGAACAGTTACTGCCAAAAGTCTATTGTATAAATCATAATTGGAAAATTAACAAGAGCTTTAACAGACACCACACATGTCTCCTGTCCGTGGTCTGTGAAGCTCTAGTTGAACATAAGAGGAGGAGACCACTCCACACCACAGATGTCTGCTGTCTGCGGTGTGAAGACCAGGTCGGCATTACCCAGGGGAAGAAGACAACCTCTATGGGTACATATTGGAACTCCGTCCCCCAACGGAGTTTGGGTTTGAACTCCATCCCAAAACGGAGTTCGCATTTGAACTCTATCCCCCACGGAGTTCGCATATGAACTCCATCCCGAAACGGAGTTCGGATTTCACCACCTACCTATCTGCCTAGTTGGGTTTGGTTAAGTTGTAGAATTATCAACATCATAATTAACCGGCACACGTCTCCTAGCCATAGTTATATAGTTGCTATGCTACACACGTTCTATAATTACTATAGCGGTTGAGAGCGTTAGCTACACACTAAATGTCTCTCGATCCTGATGAAGAGGGACGGTGTTGACGGTACTAATACAACAGAGATATCTCGAGGGTGAGGACGGAAGACCCCAACTACACCGCCGAAGTATGGAAGGCGCGATTATCGTGAGCGTGGTTGTCGAGGGCGGGGATGCTGAAGGAGTGTGTATCTAGAGCCTGGTTGTCGTGGCTGCCGTTATTGCCTTGGGTGTTGAGGGTGTAGGAGCCAGGGTGTCGCTGGATGTTTCTGAGGGTGTGGTTTCTGCCGAGGGACTGGGAGCCAGGCTGGCGTGGGCTAGGCTGCGGGCTGGCTCTGACGTAGATGGAGGTGTCGAGGACGCTGGTGGTTCTGGTATTCTTGCGGCGGTGGTGGTGGAGAGCCGGGTAGCCCAGGCGTCTGGTGCGGTACTGGCGCCAACGCTTCCGTAGCAGGTCCTGCACCTCGCTGTTGATGAAGCAGTACAGCACCGACACGAACACGCCCTGGAGAGGCCGAGGAAGATGAGCACTGTGATAGTCAACACTTCCGCCACTACTACTGCTCCTGCTGCTACTACTACTAGTAGTACTGCTATTACCATTGCTACTACTTCTACTAAAACTATTTCTGCTATTAATATTACTGCAATAATCATAATTGTAATTATTAGTAATTATTGATTATTACTGCAATAATAATAATACTGCTACTGATAATAATAATATAAATATTATTAATAATATATACAACCCTACATATTACAGATCAGCGTCGCAAGAATTGCAATAATAAACATTTATGAGCACAGAACCATACCTCATGAGGTGGTGGATAATAGTGGGACTCACTTCAGGGGACTGGAGGAGGGCGGGACTCACCTGGGAGGACTGGAGGAGGGCGGGACTCACCTGGGAGGACTGGAGGACGGCGGGACTCACCTGAGAGGACTAGAGGAGGGCGGGACTCATCTGAGAGGACTGGAGGAGGGCGGGACTCACCTGAGAGGACTAGAGGAGGGCTGGACTCACCTGAGAGGACTGGAGGAGGGCGGGACTCACCTGAGAGGACTAGAGGAGGGCGGGACTCACTTGGGAGGACTGGAGGAGGGTGGGACTCACCTGAGAGGACTAGTGGAGGGCAGGACTCACCTGGGAGGACTAGAGGAGGGCAGGACTCACCTGAGAGGACTAGAGGAGGGTGGGACTCACCTGAGAAGACTAGAGGAGGGCGGGACTCACCTGAGAGGACTGGAGGAGGGCAGGACTCACCTGAGAGGACTGGAGAAGGGCGGGACTCACCTGAGAGGACTGGAGGAGGGCGGGACTCACCTGAGAGGAGGGTGGGACTCACCTGAGAAGACTAGAGGAGGGCGGGACTCACCTGAGAGGACTGGAGGAGGGCAGGACTCACCTGAGAGGACTGGAGGAGGGCAGGACTCACCTGAGAGGACTGGAGAAGGGCGGGACTCACCTGAGAGGACTGGAGAAGGGCGGGACTCACCTGAGAGGACTGGAGAAGGGCGGGACTCACCTGAGAGGACTGGAGGAGGGCAGGACTCACCTGAGAGGACTGGAGGAGGGCGGGACTCACCTGCGAGGACTAGAGGAGGGCGGGACTCACCTGAGAGGACTAGAGGAGGGCAGGACTCACCTGAGAGGACTAGAGGAGGGTGGGACTCACCTGAGAGGACTAGAGGAGGGCGGGACTCACCTGAGAGGACTGGAGGAGGGCAGGACTCACCTGAGAGGACTGGAGAAGGGCGGGACTCACCTGAGAGGACTGGAGGAGGGCGGGACTCACCTGAGAGGACTGGAGGAGGGCAGGACTCACCTGAGAGGACTGGAGGAGGGCGGGACTCACCTGGGAGGACTAGAGGAGGGCGGGACTCACCTGAGAGGACTAGAGGAGGGCAGGACTCACCTGAGAGGACTAGAGGAGGGTGGGACTCACCTGAGAGGACTAGAGGAGGGCGGGACTCACCTGAGAGGACTGGAGGAGGGCAGGACTCACCTGAGAGGACTGGAGAAGGGCGGGACTCACCTGAGAGGACTGGAGGAGGGCGGGACTCACCTGAGAGGACTGGAGGAGGGCAGGACTCACCTGAGAGGACTGGAGGAGGGCGGGACTCACCTGGGAGGACTAGAGGAGGGCGGGACTCACCTGAGAGGACTAGAGGAGGGCAGGACTCACCTGAGAGGACTAGAGGAGGGTGGGACTCACCTGAGAGGACTAGAGGAGGGCGGGACTCACCTGAGAGGACTGGAGGAGGGCAGGACTCACCTGAGAGGACTGGAGAAGGGCGGGACTCACCTGAGAGGACTGGAGGAGGGCGGGACTCACCTGAGAGGACTGGAGGAGGGCATTAGTGAGCATGTAAGCGTCCTCCAGGTCGCCCTTGTCGCCAGGGTTGACAGCAAAGATGAGGTTGGTGATGCCCAGGAGCGGGAATAACACCGCTGCCGCCCGGATGGCTTTCCTGCTCCACACCATAACAATTGTAATTAATTAATAATTGAATTACTGATTAATAAGGATTGTATTTATAATTGTATTACTGATTAATATGAATTGTATTATTAATTGCATTGATGATTAGTTAATAACTGTATAATATTTAATGATTAATTAATATATGAAATTAACAACATGACAAACGGATTAAGTCAATTGTATAAGGATTTATTCTAGGCAACTCCTATGTATATCCACCCAAACATTTATATAATATATATATATATATATATATATATATATATATATATATATATATATATATATATATATATATATATATATATATATATTGCCTACATTTGAGACAATTAAATGATGCCATGTCAATTACGTAGCCTGGTGATCTGTTCCACAACTTTACATTCGATAGCTGTAAGGTATCGTATATAACTTTACATTTTAAAGCTGAGATTTCAATTTTAAAGCAAAACTTTACATTTTGAACACTGAGATTGTTCAGCTAGAACTGTCACTCGTACGATTACACTACCGTTTTCAAGTGATAAATTATTTGGGTGATTACGGTCACCCTCTTTATTATTATTATAAAACAACAAACATGTACAATAATAGCATGGAAGCATACACAGACCAGTACATAAATAGTTTATGATACAAATAAAATATACATACACCAAGGATACACAAGTACAGGAGAGCGCGAAGCGCACAGAACAAGGAAAATAGAAATACATTATAGATAACTGAAAGGCCCGACAAAAACAACCAGTATTACACAAGGAAAAACAAAAGCATCTCGGCTACGCTGGGCAGAGAATCAGATAAGATGACGAGGATGTATTGAACCTTGGTGGTTTGGTTGGGGGGGGGGATGAGTGGGGACTTAGCTGGGATGAGTGGGGACTTAGCTGGGATGAGTGGGGACTTAGCTGGGATGAGTGGGGGCTTAGCTGGGACGAGTGGGGACTTAGCTGGGATGAGTGGGAACTTATTTGGGATGAGTTGGGGCTTAGCTGGGATGAGTGGGGACTTAGCTGGGATGAGTGGGGACTTAGCTGGGATAAGGGGGGGGGGTCTTACCTGACTTGGGTGGTTTCAACTGCGTCACTGGCTCTTAACTTGGTCACCAGGATCCTGATGATGTTCGCCAGGAACACCAAGTTTATCTGTAGAATGCTAACACGTCATTATAAATAGGATAATAATAATAATGATAATTCTAATAATAATGATAATAATAGATGTTGCTAGTGTCATCATCATCATCATCATCTCACCTATCTCCCCATCTATATCAATTTATGGTCACCATGGTGGTCACCATCACACTGGAGGAAGCATGATGTACAAAACACGTCTGGGACGGGAAATATATTATCAACTGGCTCTTTTGGGGGCAACTTGTCCAGATTGTGACTGACAGAGGAAGCGGCTGCTGGAATTTATTTGGTCCATAACTCTCCTTAATGACCGACAAGTGAAAAGAGGAGAGAGAGAGGAGAGAGAGAGAGAGAGAGAGAGAGAGAGAGAGAGAGAGAGAGAGAGAGAGAGAGAGAGAGAGAGAGAGAAAAAAAAAGCCAATATTATGGTGCTTTAAATTGAAAAATACAATGTTTTAAACGCATTGGTTGATTCCGCACAGAATTCGATTTATTAGGAAAATGAACGGGTTTTAAGAATGGGGTGAGAGGGGGCGAGAGTATTAGAAATATTTATGACGGGTTAATATTATTCGAAGCTAATGGAAAACAAACATGACTGAGTAGTGTGTGTGTGTGTGTGTGTGTGTGTGTGTGTGTGTGTGTGTGTGTGTGTGTGTGTGTGTGTGTGTGTGTAAGGAAAGGTCCTACACATAAGCCAGATCGAACCAGAATTAATGGACTCCTGAGTAATATATTATGGCTCGATTTCCTGGGCAGCAGCGTATGTGGGTGACCCTCAATTTGTCTGTGATGGAAATGAGGCATTTAGTTTGGCAGGACGATAGTATATTGCAATAACAGGAAACATTGCAGCTGTTGTGATGCATTTCCATGCCTACACACCATGGGAACCACCTACCATGAGGCCAGTGACCATGGGAGCCACCTACCATGAGGCAGTGACCATGGGAGCCACCTACCATGAGGCAGTGACCATGGGAGCCACCTACCATGAGGCAGTGACCATGGGAGCCACCTACCATGAGGCAGTGACCATGGGAGCCACCTACCATGAGGCAGTGACCATGGGAGCCACCTACCATGATGCCAGTGACCATGAAAACCCCCTACCATGAGGCCAGTGACCATGGGAGCCACCTACCATGAGGGCAGTGACCATGGGAGCCACGAGGATCCAAGCATATAAGAGTCCACCATAACCTTGCCAACAGTGAACATGGTAGTGGAGGGACATGGTGATCGACCATGCCAGGATGAACACAAGGGGCGCGCCTGAAATGGTACACAACAGTATGAACAAGCTGAACAAAATCTCTGTTATCACCAACACCAAGAAGGGTACAGGAATAATATTAATAGACATTAATTTATCTATCTATCTATCTCTGTCTATTGATATACACCGTATATTTCATTTAAATATTGGCATGTGGCCCATCCTACAGCCTTAGATATGGACTGACCCCAGCCTGTAGTGTAGTAGATGGTGAAGGACTGACCCCAGCCTATGGTGTAGTAGATGGTGAAGGACTGACCCCAGCCTGTAGTGTAGTAGATGGTGAAGGACTGACCCCAGCCTATAGTGTAGTAGATGGTGAAGGACTGACCCCAGCCTATAGTGTAGTAGATGGTGAAGGACTGACCCCAGCCTGTAGTGTAGTAGATGGTGAAGGACTGACCCCAGCCTGTAGTGTAGTAGATGGTGAAGGACTGACCCCAGCCTGTAGTGTAGTAGATGGTGAAGGACTGACCCCAGCCTGTAGTGTAGTAGATGGTGAAGGACTGACCCCAGCCTATAGTGTAGTAGATGGTGATGGACTGACCCCAGCCTATAGTGTAGTAGATAGTGAAGGACTGACCCCAGCCTATGGTGTAGTAGATAGTGAAGGACTGACCCCAGCCTATGGTGTAGTAGATAGTGAAGGACTGACCCCAGCCTATAGTGTAGTAGATGGTGAAGGGAGCGCCGGAGTCGAAGACATTGGAGGTGAGTCTGGAGTGCAAGAAGAGACCCTCCACGAACATCCAGTTGATGGAGGCCATCTGGGCGTACATCCTGAGTGCCAAAAGGGTTTTGCACAACCAGTCCTGCAACACCAACACTACTCTTGTTACACCTGTGTTGCACACGCACACACACACACACACACAGTCAGTAGTTTCAAAGCGTTATATGACAAAGAGTGCTGGGAAGACGGGACACCACGAGCGTAGCTCTCATCCTGTAACTACACCTAGGTAATTACACTTAGGTAATTACACACACACACACACACACACACACACACACACACACACACACACACACACACACACAGCCAGAGCTCAACCCCCGCAAGCACAATTAGGCAATTAGGTTATTAGGTAAGTACACAATATCTATAAGATAAAAACATAAATTTGGAGAATTGACGGCTTGAAAATAGAAAAGTTCACAATAAATATCAACAGAATACGAGGAAATAGTTGCAAGTTTAAGACAAAAATCAGAGACAAAACTGTGTGAAAGTATAACAGTATATTTTATGAATTATTTTCCACACTATCGTGAAAAGTTGATTTTCCACGATAGTGTAGTTGACAATTGACACGGGCGGGGCTCACTAAATGCCTTGAACCTTAGCAGTGGCTGGGGGAAGTATAAGATTTCAGTTGCATAGCGGTTTGCTGCCTCTGAAATCTTACTATTGTAGCCGTTTGCGTGGCCTAGAGGTAGAGTTTTTGCCTCACGCTCCTGGGGTCGAGAGTTCGAGTCTCCTAGAGCCTAAGTGCGTGAAATGAACTGTGTGAAAACATTTGCTTAATGTAAGAATAGTTGGCATATGTAGTTACCAACACCAGTAGATATGATAGTGTTAACCAGACCACACACTAGAAGGTGAAGGGACGTCGACGTTTCGGTCCGTCCTGGACCATTCTCAAGTCGATTGAGAATCGACTTTAGAATGGTCCAGGACGGACCGAAACGTCGTCATCCCTTCACCTTCTAGTGTGTGGTCTGGTCAACATACTTTAGCCACGTTATTGTGACTCATCGCCTGCACCTGGATATGATAGTGTGTATGGTCCGAGAGCTAGAACCCGCGCCTGCAGGCACCAGCAGGCCCTCAGAGGTCCGACTCACCACGTCACGGTAGGTATTGGTGAGGCGGTGGAAGATGAAGGGTTCAATCAGCACCAGCATCACCAGGAAGTTCACGATGAGAGACCCCACCAGGTTCCTGTGGACCCGCAGCCGGTCGCACTCCAGCGTCCTGTGGGGCGTCACCATATCGTCACACACATATACATAAGAACTCCTTTAGACCCGACCAGGATTCGAACCCCCGCCGCCCAGGATCATACGGTACGGGGGGTTCGAATCCTGGTTGGGTCAAAAGACTTCTTGGTGATTAATGACTCAGGCGTTCATGCAGCCTTTGTCACATTATTATTGACTGATCAGTTGATAAATATATTGATTCTGGACCTTGCCACTTGGTGTAGATATAAATCAGGACATAATCTACTATGCTAAGAATGATATTCCAATGAGATTTAGGGCTTTGATAGGGACGAATGATGCCTATGTCTTTACATGCCCACTTTGGAACTATCAGCCCCAATGATTCCCATATATAGGCAAGACAATAGGCGCCTGGCAATGCATAAATATGACCCTATCAAAGACCAACGTACACCTAGGTACGTCTTATCATCTACATTTTACAAGATAAATAAATAACTGGCAATTTACACGAAACGGTACACAACGGCCACCCGACTGAGTGACTGAGTGACTCACCTGAAGTAGGTGAAGATGAAGGCAGTGAGGAAGAGGGTGAAGAGGGAGAAGATGGCGCCAATGAAGGTGATGTACCTCACAGCCTCCACCAGCCTGGACGATCTGGGCTGTGGTCACGGAGGGAGGGGGGGGGTACGTGGGGAGGGGGGGTTGGTCACGTGGGGAGGGGGGGTTGGTCAGCCAGGGAGGGAGAGAGGTAAAATGTAAGAGATTAAATGAAGAGAGAGAGAGAGAGAGAGAGAGAGAGAGAGAGAGAGAGAGAGAGAGAGAGAGAGAGAGAGAGAGAGAGAGAGAGAGAGAGAGAGAGAGAGAGAGAGAGAGAGAATAAGGACATGAAAGAGAGAATAATTATCATAGTAATAGAACCCGCTGAAAGAGAGAGAAACAGGGAAAGAGACGGCCACTTATTGTAATATAAAATCATGACACTCAATATGATACTATTTATTTAATAATAATAATAATAATAATAATAATAATAATAATAATAATAATAATAATAATATAAAACATTACACAGGAGTGATACTGGGTAACATTTGATGAACCTTGGTGTGTTGAACTGACGTCAAACGTGTCCTTTATGAATAATAATAAAGGATAATTCAGAAGCATGTGAAGACAATTGTTTTGGTACCTCTCCGTTGACTGCTGTGGTCTGTACTAACTGGTCTCTAAAGACACTACTTTGACCATATCTGTGCCATGTTTAAATAGTTTCCCCTATGTGTTGGCTCATGCAACCCTTGGATGTCATATAGCTAATCCCTATATCAAATGTCGATTCATCTGAATATTTTATATGCCGTGATCAGATCTCCCCAGTTTTTCTCTCTCTTCTAGTACCAAGAAGGTCGGTACTTTTTTTTTGCTAGTAATGTCTGTCTCTCAGGTAAGGCCTCTCAGTTTCGTTGTGTGTATGACGATAAAAACTCCATGCTGGAGCTGCATACTCCAGAATGGTTCTGACATCCGTGACATAAATGGCTATAAATAACTTGCGTCTGTGCCCGCGTGCCTGCTACTGGAATGACTAAATTCAGAGGCGTATGCAACAACTCTTAACCCGAGTTATCTGTAAATCTACCCAAACCATCTACAATTAAACTCGAGCTTTCTCAAATGCGTCAGTGAACAATGGCTCCCTGTTAGTGGCTAGGGGTCTAGGGCAATTCCCGGCCATCAAGTGATTCCCTATTTTTATCCGGAATTCCACTTTTTAGTTTTCTTTATCTAATTAATGGCCGGAAGTTGCGAGGGATTTCAAGGAGCTGTAATTAGCATAAATTTTCACCATAAAGTTTTAGCCCCGCAGGCTGGTCGAAGATCAGATCAATGAGTGTTTGCCCAATCGGCTGTGATCCCGCGCCCAGCGGCCACGGGTGTTTGACCCGGATATATCTAATGATTGGATCACAGGGGAGGGTTATGTTATAGCGCCGACTACCATTAGTTGATTACGGTCGTGTGTTTATATTTAAGCACAGGTGGTAGTAATTGGTGCTTGAGGCGATAGTTAAACCCTTGTCCTCACCTGGGTCTTTGTCGAGGTAAACACCTGGTGGTCCTCACCGGGTCCTTGTTGAACTATACATCTCATTCTCATACAGCTATACACGTGGGGGTCCAACTATACACCTGGAATTTGGTGATCGTGTCCTCACAACGCCCCACAAATATATTGCATCTTGAGTCAACACACCTGCCTCCACCTAGCTATACATGTATATATATATACTTGTCCCTTACCTGGCTACACACCTGGCAATCACTCGGACACCCCTACTTCACATCTTGGCTACGACCACAATAATAAACTTTGTCTATATTGACCACCTAATAGATATAATAGTCCTTTTAAATGCTGCATGAGAATAAATTGGGATAATAGCTCCCTCAGGAACGTGATTAACGTCACGCGAATGCTTGAGTAAGGGCTCAAAATGCACTTTAGAACACGGTGTTTGTCCTCTGGCCACTTATTGTTGACTCAAGTGTCTTGGGTTGTGAGGGGTGTTATGAGAGGGCCTCGGGTTGTGAGGGTGTTATGAGAGGGCCTCGGGTAGTGAGAGTGTTATGAGAGGGCCTCGGGTTGTGAGGGTGTTATGAGAGGGCCTCGGGTTGTGGTTTAATTTGGTTTGCCTCCTCTCGTTTTAGCGCGGCCGTTAATAACAGAACTTTCTGTTTCCCCATTTGCAGTAAATTAATAGGATTTCCCGCCACAATATTTCAATCTATAAGTGATTTAATAGGACTTTCAGCTTCCTGTTTTCTCTTTTAATGCGCTTCAACTCTCTCCCATTTTCTTTGTGGTTGAATAACACATATTTGTTACCATTGTACAGCTGTTTTGATTTTCAATTCGTATTGTCGAACGACCGATCTTTCCCCAAGATGTAACCTTACAACAGTTGACTAACTCCAGAGTCCCTATTTATTGCTAGGCGAACAGAGGCATTGGGGTGAAAGGAAACGTGGCTAATCATTTCTGCCTAGCATAAGATTCCAACCCGGGATTCCCGAGTGTGAGTTGGAAAATGAATCCAACTGTTACCTCCCATTTTCTGTTTATGGAGAATTGACGGTGACGTGGGCCTGTAACTGTGTAGTGACGTATGGCGTAACATGTAAACAAACCCTTGTATGACGTATTGTGTGACATGTAAACAAACCCTTGTGTGACGTATGGCGTGACATGTAAACAAACCCTTGTGTGACGTATGGCGTGACATGTAAACAAACCCTTGTGTGACGTATGGTGTGACATGTCAACAAACCCTTGTGTGACGTATGGCGTGACATGTAAACAAACCCTTGTGTGACGTATGGTGTGACATGTCAACAAACCCTTGTGTGACGTATGGCGTGACATGTCAACAAACCCTTGTGTGACGTATGGCGTGACATGTAAACAAACCCTTGTGTGACGTATGGCGTGACATGTCAACAAACCCTTGTGTGGCGTATGGCGTGACATGTAAACAAACCCTTGTAGTGACCTACACTGACCTGCTGTTGCTCGATGACGCTGAGACACTGGGAGTAGTTGGTCCAGTTGCCCCACAACCAGGACCCCGACCCGTCACACTCACGGTACGCCAACGCTGCCGGTACACGGTACACTTGTCATCATACACTCATGATGGTACCCTCTGCTATAGCTCACTATGGGACATTCCTGATGGTGTTTTGATGATGACACAAGGGAAAATATGGGCAGAAGAAGATGGAAAAAGAGGGAAGTTGAGGGGGAAGAGAAGGCAGGGACTCACCATCGGGATAGTGTAGGAGGTCCGGCACGTCGCTGAACACTGTGGCACAGGACTGGTTGACCGTCCTCCCAGCCAGGGTGGCCGGCCAGCAGTACAGGGAGTCCCAGGTGGCGTTACAGTACACTCCTGCGGGTGGGGAGGGACGGGGTCAGTACACTCCTGCGGGTGGGGAGGGACGGGGTCAGTACACTCCTGCGGGTGGGGAGGGACGGGGTCAGTACACTCCTGCAGAACACTAGCCCCCTTCCCTGTACTAATCACGCACCGATCCTATGTCAGGTAAGTCCACTACGGGCTCACCATAGCCCGTGCTACTTGGAACTTGTTCCGAGTAGCTAACTCTATAATAACAACTTTACTAGTGAACAGGAATTGTTCAGGTAGGGTGAGAGTACCTTGTGCATCACTGATAGACAAAACTTTTCATATCTTGTTTGTGTAATTTGTGAAATTAAAACAAATTTTCCGTACTGATGAACTGAATACTCTTGGATTGGCATTGAGTGCAAGGCTTAAGAACCTCTGAAGGCTATTAAGGCTATTGCAGTAGCTATCTGATCAACCAGGATATTTAGTTTTAGTTCCGAATATAATTAAGATTTTAAGTAAACACGCATTGTGTATGTGAACAGAAATGAGGTATAACTCTTGTTAATTTAATTGTTGTTAAAGATTCGCTACTTGGAACAAACAGTTTCAAGTAGCACGGGCTATGGTGAGCCCGTAGGTTTTATTTTAATGTTTACAGACGATTTTCTTATGGTTTCTAATTATTTTTAAACTGACTTCATCTTATGTTATATTATTCTTGTTAATTATATTCTTCCTATATTATTTTTACATCATCATATTGCTTTATTCATCTTCGTATATTTTCGATCCTTTTTTTTCTTCTACTCCTTTTGTCTTCTCTCCTACTTGCTCCTTTTGCTTCGTCAACTTCTGAAGGCGTCAGGGCCACTGCCGCCCGGCCTTACGGCGACCAGGGGAGACTGATACAATCTTCATAAGCAGTTAGAGAGCGAGAAGCGACCTCTCCGAGAGCAGGTAACGACGCAGGTCACTGGAGAAAGATAACGGACCCACAGAACGAGAGGAAGGCTGACAAGTATTGACTAAAACGGGAGAAATAGCCGTTGTTCCAGAGGAGAGTGCTATCTTTTCGTCCGGAGAGGTTTCTTAAGGACTTTCCGATTGGCTGGATATCTAGATGTACTTACCTAAATGCACCTGAAGGATCAAGTGTCCACTCTTAAAGATCCGTCTTTCGAATCGTTAGATTTTAATGCTGTAATTCTTCCCAAACAAGTAGGGCCTGACAGCTGAGTGGACAGCGCTTCGGATTCGTAGTCCTGAGGTTCCGGGTTCTTCCACTCCAGTTATGACTGAGGAAAATCTCTGTCCTCTATGTGACTCTTAGTTTCCACCTGTGTTTCTACATTCTACTATTCCTCTCATTAACGTTGCTATTCTGTCCACTTCATCCCCTTAGAATCTCCAAACTTGATATCTAATTCCCCTTAGAATTTTATCGTATCTGCTCTATTCATTCTTTCCTTCAGTGTGAAGCGGTCCAGTTCTTGTACTCTTTCTTCGTAGCTCAGTCCTCTCAGCTCAAAAACGAGTTAATATAGACCTTTTCCGATTGTATTTGGTGCTTCTTTAGGAAGGGAATACACGCCGAATGACAACACACTAAACTGGGCCTGACATAGGTTACAAATAGCGTTGAGAAAGCTCCTTTCTCTAAGATCTTGAAGACTCTCTCTCTCGACTCTGGCCAGCGAGGCATATGCTGTCGCTGCGGGTTTGTGTATATGTGGCTCTGGAGTCTGATTTGAGGTTATGTCTACACACACCCCCAAGCCTCTCTCATTTTCTGATGCAGAAGCGGCTTTACATTTTTGGAATGTTTTTGAGGTCTCCTCAAGCCTCTCTCTCTCTCTCATGGCCGGCTTTGCCGGAGTATTCCGATAATTTCCGTAATACGATAATTGGTTTGTTGTTCACGTCGGCTTAAATTGGCAAGACTATCACCTAATTTTTCTTCCATATTATATATATATATATTATATATTTTATATATATTATATATATATAATATATATATATTAATTTACTATTTAATTCTAGATGTATTATTTACATGGAGACGTTTCATACGTCACTCTCAATCATCAACGTTTAAGAAATGAAAAGTCTACTGAGCACAAAAATATTTTACAAATATATTGACAGGGGGGGCCCTGACAGCTGAGTGGACAGCGCTACGGATTCGTAGTCCTGAGGTTCGATCCCCAGTGGAGGCGGAAACAAATGGGCAGAGTTTATTTCACCCTGATGCATATGTTCACCTAGCATTAAATAGGTACTTGGGAGTTAGACAGCTGCTACGGGCTGCTTCCTTGGGATGTGTAAAGAAAAAAAGGAGACCAGGGCGAGGACCGGGCCGCGGGGACGCTAAGCCTCGAAATCATCTCAAGATAATCTCAAGAAGATAACCTGCAATCTGACTCAGCATTTAGACGATCTGCTATATTAAAGTGATCACATCGTGAACTATGGGGTTCAGTTCCTGAACCAATCATGTGCCTCTGTAACCCTTTACACCACCGCCCACGGGATGGGTATGGGGTGCATAATAAAGAAAGAAATTGAATTAATCTTCTGGGAAACATGAATATTCGGATTGTAAATAGCTGGCGTATTCGTTCACGCCTCTAGCTGTCCCCCAGGCCTCTAGCTGTCCCCCAGGCCTCTAGCTGTCCCCCAGGCCTCTAGCTGTCCCCCTAGAAAATATTCATGCGTATTTAGAGTCAAATGACAAGTTTTCTCTAACTGCTCTTTATTCCCATCTCCGAGGCTGTGTGTCCCCACAATTGCACCTGAGGTGTTAGCCCTTTCTAAACGCATAGTTTATTTTTTTATGTATATACATATAAGCACGCAACTGAGCTGCTATCGACCCGTTCCCCATGATATTTTATCACCTGGCTGTTGGGGTGGGTTATGGGATTGATAATGATGTTTATTTATGTTTTCAGGTCAAGTCAGTACCTTCGTGAGCGCTAAAGCAGGATTCACAGAGTCGTTCTTGACGCGACAAATGCGGCTCACGAGAGTCGTTCTTGACGAGAAATGCGGCTCCCGAGATGCTGCGTTAGTTGTAAGGTCCTAGATGTTATGCTGGAGAATATGTTAAAATATCTCCAATCTGGATTTAAGGCATTGAATTTAACTTTAGGCATTTATTAATATAGTTTTGACAATTGGTCCATTTTGCAGCTCGTCAAGGGTCTATAGCATGAGGGGTTGATAACCGTTATTGTCCCCATTTATAATCCTGGATATCATTTATAAAACTGTAAGTTGCTATCTTGATCCACCTGGCCCTTACCTCTTTCTTGTACCTTTCTTGTATTCACAATATCGGGGACAGGAAGCCCGTACTTATCGAGGGCCCTCTAAGCCTAATATACCTCAAAGGGACCAAAGGCTGAGGCGGGACCAAAGAGCCAAAGCTCAACCCCCGCAAGCACAATTAGGTGAGTACCTACCGACCTTTCCCAGGATGCAACCCGCAACAATTGTCAAACTCCTATGTACTTATTTACTGCTAGGTGAACAGAGGCACCAGGTGAAAGATAAAGTGTCCAGTTGTTTTCGTCCTGCCCTGGGATTGAACCCTAGTCCCTCGGTTGTGACCTTGTGTTACAGCAACGCAGAGGCCCGGGCAATGACCGGGCCGCGGGAATGCTAAGCCCCGAAGCCAACTCAAAATATACTCAAGGTATAGTGGCATTGGCGAGGCACGAATATATTAACCGATAACCACAGTATTATGAAACAAAAGGTCTTTTGTACCCCCATTAGCATAATTATAAAGTCTCTACACTTACCGTCAAGAGGTAAGCTGCTGTTCCAAAAATCCTCGAGGCATTTCTGTCCCTCTAGCGGAAGACTCAGGAACTGATCATCCGTGATGCTGCTTTTAGTGACAGTAGCAGCGAGGCTCCCGTCAGGGAAGGTCAGGGACGGTGCTGGGCTCGCCATACTGAAAATAATAATAATAATAATAATAATAGCTAGGAACCAATTACTGGATAACAAAGTACCTTTGATATCCAGTACATTTCCCATGGAGGTCCACCCTAGCCAAGGGCAAGGCTGCCAGCACGGTCACCTAACCAGTTACTGTTCAGATACCCATTATTTAACCGACTGAGCAAGAAGCGGGCAAATTATTGGTTTTCCATTGTCACGGACGGGATGACTGAACAGTTGCATCAGGCGAAAGGAAACGTACCCAGTTATCATCTTTGTCCTGCCAGGAAATTGAACCCGGGGGTCCCTCCGTTGTGAGTCGACGACGTAGACCACTGTGCTACCGGATATGATAACCAATGACAGCACACAATACCTTACTGTAGCATAGTATAACAGTACACTGCACAGTAACACCGATTAACACATGTTATCACAGTAATACTATTAACATATGTTAAAGTGTTAATAGGTTAACATATATATATATATATATATATATATATATATATATATATATATATATATATATATATATATATATATATATTGACCCTTTCGCTTTCAAGGGCTATAACCTCCTCGTTAGTTGCAAAAGCTTCGGATTCTCTCTGTAAACTGCCTGGCCGACACAAATCTTAATCCTATCTTGAGAATACGATAAATTGTCCTGAAGTGCCTGCCTGAGACGTGAAATGCCTGGTCTAAAATGTGTCATCACGCGAGGCCTTCAAACACCTTTCTTTTTATCGCCTAAATTGGCCAAAAGACAAAACTGAATTCTTTAAAAAGAAACTGCAAAGGTCTATTTTCTCCTGCTTCTGGATGATGCAACCTTGGCTCTCTGATTTATTAAGTCGTTTTAACTCGTTACAACAAATACTAAAATGAAATTTATATATTATGTTTGAGCATTTTTCCAGAAACTGCCCGACAGGCAAGTGTCTCCAAGTTTTTCCCTTTCGTGATTATGTTAAATTCCTCCCGCCTCTATGGTCCACAACTCAGACTGGAGCAGGAGTTACAGCTTTCCGGCTCGTCAGCACGATCACCAGGGGGGCCCTCGCCCGTCTCCAGGGGGCGCCTGCTACCCGAGGGTGTAGAGGGGTCCGCCAGGTACCAGGGGGGGAGATGAGGGCCCGCTACCACGGGGCGCTGAGGGCGCCCGCCAGCCACCAGGGGGCACCTAGGGCCCGCCCGCTAAAATGAGACACTGATGGCGCGGTAATATTTTTTGAAACGGTAAACATTTTTTGTTCTCTCTCCTTATTGGTTGTGAGATGCAAGTTGCGTATGAGTGGCATAGAGGCAGAGGACGTCTACACATCTATACATACATTGATGCATTCCTCCATACATTCATACATATGTACTTACATATTATATATATTGCTAGGCACAACGGCCTGTTAACCCCCAGATGCCTATTAAATATTATTAGTATTAATATTACTGATATGTGTACAAAAGCATCACATGTAAAAAAAAAATCTCAAACATATGACCCTGCCTGGGATTCGAACCTTGGTTCAGTCGGTTGTTACGCTAACTGTTGAACATACAGAGGAAATGCTTATATCTTCCTGTTGCATAGACTAATAAGCTGGTGGAACAGCTCGCCTCTTGCCACCGCTGAAGGCACATCAGGGCTCAGCTTGAATACATAAGAGGGGAATCTCACCAGGTAAATATGCGAGGGTGAAGACTCCACGACCCGTAGACCTCCTTACTTTACCTCAAGGGTTCTAAATATGGAGGCCGCCACGTTAATACATCCATACATACATACATACATACATACATTACATACATACATACATACATACATACATACATACATACATACATACATACATACATACCAGAGAGAGACACACACACGCGCGCGTGCACGCACACACGCACACACACACACACACACACACACACACACACACACACACACACACACACACACACACACACACACACACACACACACACACAACACTGTAAACAACCGATGGCTAGAAGGGCGGGATCTAAGAGTCAATGCTCGATCCTGCAAGCACAAATAGGTGAGTAAAAATAGGTGAGTAAACACACACAGGGGAGGTCCCCTTGTGAGCAAGGGGAAGTCCCAGAGATAGGAGAGGGAAGATCTAACCAAACACGACTAGATGAGTTTATAATTACCAGTAGGGAGGTGAGGAAGCATCTGCTAGAGTTGCAAGTGACAAAGGCTATAGGGCCGGATGGAATCTCCCCTTCCGTACTGAAGGAATTAGCTGAAGCTCTGTGTCAGCCAATCGCCATAGTGTATAACAAATCACTGGTGACAGGTAACTGCCAAAAACTTGGAAGACGGCTAATGTAGTCCCGATAATCAAGAAGGGTGATAGACAGGAGGCACTGACCCATTCATGCTGGCCAGTGTTACTAACCTGCATACCATGCAAGGTGATGGAGAAGATTGTGCAAAAAAAACTAGAACTGCCTTGAGAAACTTGTGTAAGGAATCTTTCAGAATCTTGTATACCACGTATGTAAGACCAATCCTGGGGTATGTAGCCCCAGCATGGAGCCCGTACCTTGTCAAGCACAAGACGAAACTGGAAAAAGTTCAGAGGTATGCCACTAGGCTAGTCCCAGAACTAAGATGCATGAGCTACAAGGAAAGGCTGAGGGAACTGCACCTCACGTTGCTGGAAGACAGAAGAGCCCGGGGAGACATGATCACCACATACTAGATTCTCTGGGGAATTGGCAGGGTAAACAAGGATGGATTATTTAACACGGGTGGTACGCGAACATGGGGACACAGGTGGAAGCTGAGTACCCAAATGAGCCACAGAGACATTACAAAGAACGTTTCAGTGTCAGAGTAATTAGTAAATGGAATGCATTATGCAGTGATGTGGTGGAGGCTGACTCCATTCACAGTTTCAAATCTAGATGATAGAGCCCAGTAGGCTCAGGAATCTGCACACTAGTTGATTGGCAGTACCAAAGTTGAGAGGCGGTACCAAAGAGCCGAAGTTCAACCCCCTGTACGTGCTTAGTCCTACACACCTGGGGTAACTTTCTCCTACACACCCACTGCTCTAATTTAGAGATAAGCTCTTCGTTTGATCAGCTCGCCTGGCCTCATATGTTAGCTGGAATCGTTGGCCTCCTGTCGTAAAATTTTATTTCTTGTACCTCACTCTTCTTCCCTTGCCACTGTTCTCAGGAACTTACGACTAGTACGGCATATGGTTGTTAAGGACAGGAAGGCTTCGTCTCGTTATTATTTTATGTGGACAGTGAGTCACAATAACGTGACTGAAAATTGGACACTTGGTGCTGTTACCTGACCATGTACTGACCGGACACCATCTGTGTTTTGTCCGAGTGTCGCTATTCACAACGCCACGTATACCCTTTCTCCCCAGAGTCACTGTGTTAGTGATCCAAGAATAGAGCTTCACTCTCACACGTTCATTCCAGAGCCATCGTGCGCAACAAACTACTCTCCTATATCTCTCCTGACACCTTTGATCTCCAGGCCAGAAAGAACGCATCGATCCCTAACACTGTCAGCGCTAACAGAAGACGTAATTTGTTTTTATATGTTTATCCGCTCATGAAGGCTGAAAGATTGCTGCTGTGCTTGTGTGTGTGTGTGGAGGTATTGTCTCGGACCCCTACCTCTACCTCACGCCTCCATCCATCCTCTCTCTCTCTCTCTCTCTCTCTCACTCTCACTCTCACTCTCACTCTCACTCTCACTCTCACTCTCACTCTCTCTCTGATTCCTCCAACCACTCCTATTCCAACACCCCGTTTCCCCTCCCTGCGTTATGATCTCATCCCTTCCCCTTCATTCTCACCGTTCTCACTCCCTCCACCTAACACCACCATTCCTACTTTCCTTCTTTATGTCCCTAACTTTCCATCACGACCTCTTTCCTTCCTCCTTTCTTCGGTGTATTTCCGGGTGCCACGAATTCCCCCTTTCTACTTTTGCAGCCTCTGGCAGGAACTACAAAAGCCGCAGTTCTACAGCAAGGGTCACACTCAGCCTCTCACTCACCTCCTCTCTCATATTTAAGTTGGTTCCATCGTTCTCCGAAATTGCCTTTGTTGGGATTAAATGGATTGCTGGAAAGGGAATCTATTTTTCACTTGTGGTTTGTTCGAGAGAGAGAGAGAGAGAGAGAGAGAGAGAGAGAGAGAGAGAGAGAGAGAGAGAGAGAGAGAGAGAGAGAGAGAGAGAGAGAGAGAGAGAGAGAGAGAGAGAGAGAGACAGACAGACAGACAGACAGACAGACAGACAGACAGACAGACAGACAGACAGACAGACAGACAGACAGACATAGAAACAGAGAGACTGAAACACAGAGAGAGAGTGAGAATCTAAAAATACCTATCCAATCATTTCTGAAGTGGAAGAAGCTGTTTCCCAGGCTTGCATTACGACCCCTCTCCCCCACCCTCCCACCCCCTCAATGCTGTAGTTAAATTATTCATCATTAACCTGGAGCAAGCGAGGTGAACGTGTGACAGGAGTGCCCAAGATGCCATACCAAAAGAATACTCTCGGCACGCGGCATGCAATGTCGTCCCTGAATGCTTTAATCCCTAACCAAAATAAATAAATAAATAAATATATTATGCTTGCATAAACAGACTTTTTTGTTGTGGTTCTCGAGGACATTGAGTTCCAGGAGGTCGCGAGATGGCACACGATCTCAAAAAGGCTCACCATCGCTGCCTTAGAAGAACTGTTGGCCTTCCTCAAGATGCAGAACACAACAGCTGTCTAACTCCCGGTGCCTATTTTCACTGCTAGATGAAGAGAGGGGGGGCATCAGGTGGGTAGGAAAGGTGCCTAATCGTTTCTGTCACGCCCGGGGAGATTGAACCCGGTTCCCTCGGTTGTTAGTCGACGACGTAGATTTTAGGGGCGCCCCCCATTGTGCTTCTACGACGCGGCAAGACCGTCTTGGTGATCCGGAAGGGATTAAGGTTTGTCACTGTCCCCTTCT